ATCGATTGGAAAGAACATTCCACAAGGTCGCGCCATCGCAATCGAGAGAATACAAAAGTGTAGCCTGAGTCTAACGACAGCTTCAGTACACTACAGCCGTCTTCAGACAACCCACTCAGCAAAACACGACACGCAAACCAGCTCTACACACAGCCTTGGCAAGCTGCCTGGACCAGCAATACAACCCTCAACCATGCCAACAGAAATATCAGCGCCGTTGCACTTCCGCACCCTTCTCAATGGCCACACCTATCTCATCGCCGACTTCTACGCAACATGGTGCCCACCCTGCAAGCAAATTGCGCCCATCTACAACCAGCTTTCCACAGCCCATTCCTCACCGGGGAAATTCGCATTCGTAAAAGTCAATGTGGATGAGCAGAGAGAGATTGCGGGACAATATGGTGTCACTGCTATGCCTACGTTCATGGTCTTCAAGGACGGGAAGAAAATCGAGGAGATCAGGGGCGCGGATGTGAGGGCGCTGAAGGCCGCCGTGGAGAAGGTCGCTGGGGAGGTGCGAAAAGTTAAGGAGGAGAAGGTGGAGGCGAAGAAGCCTGAGGTCAAGCCAGAGGTCAAGGAAGAAAAGGAGGTTGGGGAGGAGAAGACTGTTAGTGGGAGTTATGGGATGACTGGGGGCAACAATTGGAAGATGTCGTTGCATTAGATATGAGGGCTGTAGTAGATCATCATCACATGCAGAGGAGGACGATGGATTTGTGATACCCAGGAATTATAGCAAATATTTTGATCTCAATCATTACCTATGAGATTTACAGCGTGATCAGTATGCATAAATAATCAAGTGTACGTCATCCGTCGGGTTGATATTGGATTTGTAACGTTCAGACGCGTAAGGACACCTTTCAGACTAGCGATCGCCACCGCGGGACCCTGATAGCCGCTGTGCTGCTCTAGCTCCCCACCAGATTTCCCACCGCTCTTCAACACACATTTGGAGCCTCAATCTATCCTTGGGCTTCACACATATTCAAGATGCTTTTCCGCAATTTAATACCCGCGGCCATTGCGCTGCTCCCCGCAATTGCCTCTGCATCCGCCGTCATCGACCTCACACCCTCCAACTTCGACGATGTCGTTCTTAAGTCCGGCAAGCCCGCCCTCGTAGAGTTCTTCGCTCCCTGGTGCGGCCACTGCAAGAACCTCGCCCCCGTTTACGATGAGCTCGCTGGCGTCTTCCAGCACGCTGGAGACAAGGTCAGCGTCGCAAAGGTCGATGCTGATGCCCACAAGGCGCTGGGCAAGCGTTTCGGTGTCTCAGGCTTCCCTACCCTCAAGTGGTTCGACGGAAAGAGTGACAAGCCTACGGATTACAGCGGCGGACGTGACCTCGAGAGCTTGAGCAAGTTCATCACAGAGAAGAGCTCGGTCAAGCCTAAGGTCAAGGGCAAGCTGCCTAGCCAGGTTGTCTATTTGGACGACAAGACCTTCAAGGAGAAGGTTGGAAAGGATCAGGATGTGCTTGTTGCCTTCACTGCGCCATGGTGCGGACGTATGTCTTCCTAGCGTCCCCTCTATCGACTGATCATAGCTAATATCTGGGCAGACTGCAAGACTCTCGCCCCCGTCTGGGAGACCCTCGCCAACGACTTCGTTACCGAGCCCGGTGTCTTGATCGCCAAGGTCGACGCTGAAGCTGAGAACTCCAAGGCCCTCGCACAGGAGCAAGGTGTGTCATCCTACCCGACCATCAAATACTTCCCCAAGGGCTCCACCGAGCCCCTCCCCTACAACGGCGCCCGCGCCGAGAAGGACTTCATCGACTTCATCAACGCAAACGCCGGTACCCACCGTGCTGTAGGTGGTGGTCTCGACGCCACTGGTGGCACCATTGAGGCCTTTAACACCCTCATTGAGAAGTTCCAGGGCTCATGGACTGGTGGTGCTGAGGAGGCCAAGACCCTTGCCGGTACTCTGCAGGACAAGTACGCGGAATACTACGTCAAGGTCTTCAACAAGATCGGTGCCAACCAGGAGTACGCTGCGAAGGAGCTCAAGCGTCTGCAGGGACTTATTGCCAAGGGCAACCTGGCACCCGAGAAGATGGATGACTTGATGAGCAGGAGCAACATTCTGAGGAAGTTCATGGGTGATGCTGAGGAGGAGAAGTCTGAGTTGTAGACGACTCGCACGTGAAATGAGATTCCAGGATATGGATATTCATACCAACACTCTTGAGATGATACGACAAGCTGGGGGGCGCAAAGAGGCCTGACGCAGGAGCGACAGGCATACGTGACCATGACAATGAGAAAGCAGAACAAGTAGTAGAAACCAAAAGTCAATACCCAGATTGCATATGATCTATGTAATTTAACACCAAACGCCAATGACTGAGATATGCGTGATGTACACCGCCTGCTTTTGACCATGCCTTCCGCGTAACTCTACTTGCCAGACCCTGAGCCCTTGGTACCATCTCCGGCCTGGATCGTTGCTTCGAGGTTATCAAGTCGCCGTGACATGTCATCCACTACGCATTATGAGCATTCGATGTACCTGCTATAGACAGGCTCCTACTTACTTTTGGCAAGCAGCTCGCTGCTGACTGTTGTGAACTTGGTGTTGAGTTGGTTTAGAAGGTCGTCGACAACTGCTGTGAGCTCTCCAGAGCTCTCAGCATCTTTTGAGACAGCAGACTATGCGCGTGTTAGGTAGGGCGGGGCATCGTGAGTGTAACAAGCACGTACCGCAGTGTCGCTTTGCGCGCGGTCTGCTAGTGGCTGCGGTGTGGCCATGTTCGAATGTGTTTGTGAGGAAAGCAAAGAACAAGACGAAGAGTTTGCAGATTCAAGACGATTGAAGCAGCCCACCAGACGCCTGTCAACTTTTGTACTATAGTATGACAGGAGAGATGCGCATGTACGGTGGATATGTAAAGTCGCGGAGCACGTGGTCTTCGCCGCGGCTTCCTGCCCGTTTGGTAGGCGGTCAAGCTAGCGTGCGCGCTAAAATGTTTCTGCGCCCAGACTTCGAAGTTCACGAATTATTTTCTGAGAAGCTTTGACGTCTTGTCTTTTGCGACGTCCGATACTCCACACCCTTCAGAACCCCCTCAAACCTCAGACGACATGGCGAAGAAAGGTGTGCTCAAGTCAGCGCTCGACAACTACCAGGGCCGCGACATCAAGCGCGAGAAGCAGAAGAAGTACGTCAAGCAGGCGCTGAAGCGCAAGGAAAAGCGCGAAGCCACGAAGGCCGCGGAGGAGGGCGAGGAGGATACTGAGGAAGGCGGCGTGCCTGTGCCGTTGGACGAGGTAGAGGTCAAGGTCAATGGCAAGACAAAGAAGTCGAAGAAGGACAAGAAGGCCGACGCAAAACCTGCAAAGGCCGCACCAGCAGTCAAGGAGCCTGAATGGGAGACCGAGGGCGAAGATGACGACGACGACGCAAGCGACGACGAAGATGAGCCTAATGGACTTCAGGTAGACCTTGACCACCTCAACGACACCGACAGCGACATCAGCTCGGACGAGGAGGAAATACAGGCTGAAGAGGCCGCAGAGGAAGATGAGGACGCGGAAGATGACGAGGACGAGGACGAGGATGAGGATGACATTGCGCTATCTGATCTGGATTCCATCGCGTCAGAAGACAAGGGTGATATTATTCCCCACCAGCGCCTTACCATCAACAACACCGCCGCCCTCACCGCCGCCCTGAACCGCATCCAACTCCCTTACTCGAAACTCGCTTTCTCGGAATACCAGTCCGTCACCACCGACGAACCTGTCGAGATCGCCGACGTCGAGGACGACCTCAACCGTGAGCTCGCCTTTTACAAGCAATGCCTATCCTCGGTCAAGGATGCGCGGAAGAAGCTGAAGAAGGAGGGTGTGTCATTCTCCCGACCAGCCGACTACTTCGCGGAGATGGTCAAGAGCGATGAGCACATGGGCAAGATCAAGCAGAAGCTGATTGATGCCGCGGCAGGCAAGAAGGCCGCTGCTGAGGCACGCAAACAGAGAGACTTGAAGAAGTTCGGAAAGCAGGTTCAGGTCGCGAAGCTGCAGGAGCGTGCCAAGGAGAAGAAGGACACCATTGAGAAGATCCAGACTCTCAAGAGGAGTACGTATCACCTGTATCTGAGGACTTGACTAGCAGTATACTGACAAACATGCAGAGCGACAAGGAGCCGACATCACAGCTACCCACGAGGAAGACCTCTTCGACGTCGCCGCCACCGCTGATGACGACAAGTCCGATCGCCGCGGTCGTGGTGGTGCTGGCGGCAAGGATTTCAACAAGCGCCAGAAGAAGGATTCAAAGTACGGTTTCGGTGGCAAGAAGCGTCATGCGAAGAGTAACACCGCCGAATCCAGCGCAGACGGACGCGATTTCTCGGCTCGCAGGATGAAGGGCAAGCCCAGTGGCGGTGGGAGCAAACGGCCTGGCAAGGACAAGAGGGCGAAGAGACACTAGGTGGTGTAGTCATATGGAAGGCTGAGTGACAATCATATGTCACGTTCTGCATGCGTATGGCGCTCTGGCGTTCAGGGACTGAGTCTAAAAGCACACTTTGTATTCTAAGAGTCGGAATGTCTTACTTTGCTAGGAGATACCAATGCACAATCGTACGAACGTCTGAAGTCACTCCGAACTGCCGCTGTGACATCGTTCTGCAACTTCGGATGAGCGAGCTGGCGGCTACATACCGCCTTGTCTGGGCGATATCGCACGCCATCGACCACCGTGGCGGTATACAGGTCTTTTGGTAACGGTCTGTCGGCGCCCCATACTGTAGCCTGACTGATCTCGGCGCCAGTCCCACCTTCACCGCGATACCGCAAACCACAAGCGACTACGTCATCTAACAAACGCTCGCAGGCTACAACGCCCGTGCTTGCTCTTCCCGCATACATTGCCCATCCCCTTCACCTTCATAAACTTCTCAAGTACCGTCCTCGACGACATCAATTCAGCACCGACGTTACGATACCCGACCACATCACAAGTCCTCGAGTACTCCACATCTCACCATGTCAAAGGATATCTACTTCGAAGGCGACGCAGAAACCCTCCCCTTCAGCACCACCACCCCGATCCCGACTCCCAAAGTCCAAAAGCCTGTTGACGAGCTCGACTTCATCGACGTAAAACCCAACACAATCTGGTATCTCAGCATCATCCGACCACACATCGATTCCCACGAAATCATCGGCCCCGCCAAAGCATTCCGCCACCTCCTCCCCCAAATCGAAGACGTCGTCAGCAACTCACCCAACGCAATTGACAAGCTTGCCCTCATAAAAGAGAAGCCAAATAACAATTTCCTGTTTGCGGAAGACGACGAAGATGAAGAGAGGGAGGTTGATGAAGAATTCTTGGAAATGGGCTTCTGCACATTCATTGTGGAAGGTCAACGCGGCTCCTACACTATCCTGAAGATACATCGCGAAATCAACAAAGACGTCTTCGATATCCTGCCCGCGCCCGTCTACACCATCATCTCCGTTGGCCCCCTCGCCCATGCCGAACGCCCATCCACTACCTCCTTATCCTCAAAATTCACCGCTTCCAAGCCAAAAGGATATGCAGCCACAACCAAGCTTCACGCTTCCTACGTCGACCGCGCTGCCGCGAAGGAAGACGCACAACATATCTTCACCGTCTTACTCCTCGATACGGAGACGTGAAGCAGACTAAGAGATGGGAGAGGGGGAGTAAAGGAGGAGGCATCTTGATCGGTATGAATGCGAGTAGTATGTGGGAAGTCAAAGTTGTTATGTCGACGATCCAATTGGCAGGGCGCAGGAAGACGCTGACAGGGAGCATGACGGGTTTGTTTTGTGAGGGTATGAGGAGGCGGGGAGGTATTCGGTGGGTTGGCGGTGGTCATACGGTAGGGTGATGAGGTTGTGAAGTCCTCCCGGTACATGATGAAGTCAAAGGCGGGAAGGTTTTGGTGTTTTGGAGGGAGTCGGGAGTACCCATGGCATCCAGGTTTTTGGCTTCCCATCGAGACTTCCTACGGACTTTTCTGTCGTCTCTTGGATTGTGAGACTTTCTATTGCTTTGGTGATGACGCGTTCGCGGGGGAGGAAGCGGCCGTCTGGCCCTCGTGGGTAGCGTAGGCATACATAGATATTGGGAGGCGCTTGTGAAAAGTCGTGTGTTTGCCTGTTCTTCCGTACAAGAGCGAAGTGCGTGGCGAGTTGCTGGCGAGCTAGTCGTCTTTTCTGGATGCGGTTCTGCTGCTTTGCGTTGAGTTTGTTGACTGGTGTTTCGACTGGTTGCTCGTTGGTTGCCGACATGATGGCTAGCTGACTACCGATGCTACCGGTGCAAAAGGAAGGAGGGAATTGAATAATGAACTGACAAGACGATTCTTTCACACTTTTTTACACGCATCAAGTTTGCAAAACGCGTTTGTTGTGCATTGCGGATCAAAGACATGCAGGGAAACAATGCCACATGATTTGCTAGTGATGACGTAGGACAGGTCAGGCGATGCGGGGATATCTTGCGAGGTCGTGAACACACGACCACTACCACAACACCATCTCGTCGCAACGCGTCGATTGCTGAACAACAAAGAGACGCTCACAGCAATGGTTCCAGCACGAGGAATTCACTGTCGAATTAGGCTCACACGCTAGCGCCAACGGTGTCGGTAGAAAATCGGGTTGACTCAACGGCTGACCCAAGACCTCGCGCCACGAGTCGAGAACTTTCTGACTTTCCTTCAGAACTCCCGAACCGTGGAGCCAGAATAGGGACCGATGCCAAGAATACTAAAATATTATCACGCCGCACCGCTACTGCACTTCAGTGGATCTCCCTCGTCTTCGGCTTAGTCGCGGAAGCATGCCTCTGCTGCATCGGATCGTGGAGCGAAATCCCATCGGACCTAATCCAGTATACTATGCAGAGCCCAACGCTCTCGGTAGTTCGAGCCGCCGACCGACGACGACGAGACATTTCAAGTTATGCGCCAATACAAGCCTATGCGGGTTGCTTCTTGCCAACCTTTTGAGGCGCCTTCCTTCGTCGTTTGCAGGCTTCCCCCCATGACATCGAGGAAACAACAGGATTGCATGCGGTCATACTCGGTACCATTCCGCAACAACATCAATGTTTGAAAAACAAGCCATAGGCGGAAACAGAAACACGCTACAGCTTGTCTCTCCACCAGAGATTGTAGTGTGGATACATCGGAAAAGGGCTCTTCGTGATAGGCTTCCGGCTAAAGTGCAGGTTGAAGTGAACGACCACTGACTCAGGAGTGCTCCATCTCGCGAGCCCACCAACCTGGATGCACGCCTTCATCGTGTAAATTGAGTCTTAACAGCTCAAATAAGCGCAACAACAGGCTCAATTGACTGCGACCGTTATATAAATGGTGTAGACCGGCGCTACTCGTGGGTTTCCATCGAGCCTCCCCTCGACAATCACCCAGACATCGGCAGCCGCTTAACCTCCGAGATCCGTATGCGTTCTCTATCTTTGGCACAGTGGATACGAGCATAGCGAGCGCTAGATGGTAGGTAGCAGCTCACCCGAACTCATACGATACGTGGGTGGGATTGTAGTCTGGATGCCCGATCACTCCTTCCTTCAGCATGTGCAATCCGCCGTGCCCCCTTTCCGTCATTGCTCGTTTCATGTTGAAGAGGCGGAGAAATAGGTCAGCTGCAATTTTCATGCGCTGAGATACGACTACTCCACACCGAGATTGGAAGTCGGCAGAGACACCACAACCCTGATGGCAGCAGCGTTTTGCAAATTTCCTGCACAGGAAGACCTTTCAGGAGTGTCATTGTAGCACTAACTGTATATCGGAGTCTACCCACAGGTTTCCGTGTATTAGTGTATACTGTCTGCACCGGCAGCGAAGTTCCGTCGAGTATGGTACCTGCACCTCCCCGACCGCCAAGTTTCCGACCGCCAAGATCATGGGTTGAAACTTGTCTTGGTCACAGGCCCACCACCGCGGTTCCCAGGATCGAGAAAGCGGGCGCTACGGACTAAACACTATAGTGACAGCTCCCATTCCTTCGTATGGTCATCTCGCTTCGCCACAGCTGGGCGGCACAGCGGAAATGGCACCACAGCCAAGAGATCTCGGCCTCATGCGTCGATGACAGGAAACACTGAGGCGTTGTTTCACGGTGCAAACCAACATCGGTGATGAGGGGGTGGTAAGGGATAGGTGGGGAGACAGATTCTGAGCACTAGAAGCGGTTAGTCGGGGCGCTCAGATTGGGATGTATGCTCAGATACATAAGAAGCAAACACCACGGCAATGGAGAGCTCATCAGCACACTTCTGCACACTGTCTTTCGCTTCTCTTCAGTCTTTCGCTTCTCTTCAGTCTTTCGCTTCTCTTCTTTCGCTACTACATTCGTTTCTACAGGCTAGTCCTACTATACAATCGTTTCTTCTCATCTTCCAACCCACTACCAAACCCAAAACCAACATCGGTGATGAGGGCAAAACCAACATCGGTGATGAGGGGGTGGTAAGGGATAGGTGGGGAGACAGATTCTGAGCACTAGAAGCGGTTAGTCGGGGCGCTCAGATTGGGATGTATGCTCAGATACATAAGAAGCAAAACACCACGGCAATGGAGAGCTCATCAGCACACTTCTGCACACTGTCTTTCGCTTCTCTTCAGTCTTTCGCTTCTCTTCAGTCTTTCGCTTCTCTTCAGTCTTTCGCTACTACATTCGTTTCTACAGGCTAGTCCTACTATACAATCGTTTCTTCATCTTCCAACCCACTACCAAACACCAAACCAACACCACCCACCTCAAACATGAAGCTTTCCATCATCGCCGCAGCTGCCATTGCGCAGATCGCCTCTGCCCACTACACCTTCGATGTCTTGGTCACCGACGGCCAGGAGTCCAAGGGCTACGAGTTCATCCGTGAGAACACTCGTGCCCAGAAGTTCAACCCCACCAAGTGGAAGAACCCCCTCGACAACATGACCCCCGACATGGACGACTTCCGCTGCAACAAGGGCTCTTTCGCTAGCGCTGGCAAGACCGGCGTCAAGGAGGTCGCAGCCGGCACCAAGATGGCCATGAAGCTTGCCTACGGCGCTACCATGAAGCACCCCGGTCCCGCTTTCGTCTACATGTCCAAGGCTCCCAGCTCCGTCAAGGAGTACGAGGGTGACGGCGAGTGGTTCAAGATCTTCGAGTCTGGCCTCTGCGACAAGAACAAGGATATCCTGGGTACTGCTTGGTGCACTTGGGATAACGACAGGATTGAGTTCACTGTCCCCGCTGAGGTGCCAGAGGGCGAGTACTTGATCCGCTCTGAGCACGTTGGTCTTCACGGTGCACACGATGGCCAGGCTGAGTTCTACTACGCGTAAGTTTTCTCTTCACTACTGCTACGACGACATTAGCTAACACTTGATAGCTGCGCTCAAGTCAAGGTCACCGGCGGCGGCAGCGGTACCCCCGGCCCCACCGTCAAGTTCCCCGGCGCGTACAAGAAGACCGACCCCGAGTTCAACTTCAGCATCTGGGGTGGATACAAGGACTACACCTTCCCCGCCCCCGCTGTCTGGGATGCCAGCACCAGCGGCGGTGCTCAGTCTCCTGCTCAGACCCCCACTGAGGAGCCCACCACCGAGGAGTCTCCCGCACCCTCTGCTTCCCCCGTACCTTCCTCCGAGGAGCCTGCTGCTAGCAGCGAGGCTGTTGCACACAACTCTGAGAACTGCAAGGGTGGCAAGGCTAAGCGTGGTCGCCGTGCTTTCCGCGAGGCTCTTCTCCGAAAGGAGTAAGATGCATATGTTTTGCATGATCTGGAGGATTGAAACGATGAAAGGCTTGACTTTACGGTCTGGTCGACTTTCTGTATATATATACTTTTTCGATAGGCGCAGCCGTGCTGCGCTTTTTTGTAGATGTTGCTGGATGAGGAATACAATCAGTATTCCTGAACACAGTTTTCGAAGCTTCATCGCAGTGCTCCATGATCGTGAGACAGTTACTGCATACAACACCCAAAACACGTTTGTACACTAGATTGATACAGCAATCGATTACCGATGGTACATACGGCATCTTTTTCTGGCAATTCTATCTGGGAACTACAATGGCCTGCCAAACCCCTGCAGCCGTGTGGACATAGCAGCCAAAAAGCTGCAAGATCAGGCCAGAAACTGCAGACTAAATAAGGTATATCTTTTTGCGGGTTCCTCATCTTGTCGCGAAGAGCCTTCAAGATGAGCTGTTGTTGTAAGCACCCACGTAGACGTGCCACCATCTCCATGGTCAAGACAAGAATCCGAGTATGTTGAAGTTCTCTCGAGCGTGAATCTGGAGTCAATCTTGAGGCCCTGCAAAAGTGCCCACGCAGTGTACAGGATGTTGCTCATGGTCAATGGAACCATCGGCAAACATACTGTCTTTTCCTCATCGATTCTTATTCGATCAGGCATCAGGAAATTCCATAGATCAAATCGAAAAGGGAAAGGAGTGTTGAATCAGATCAAACCCGCACGCGCTGTCTCCAAGATCAGATAGGGCCTGTTGTAGAGGTGCGTAATCCTTGCAAGAATCTCGGCAATCTCTCGCAATCCTCTTGAGGTATAGACACAGTTCTTTCGGCGAAGTAGGCGTGTTTGGCTTGGCTGCATGAGCTTTCCGAATCCAAAAAGTGAGAAATGTATCTTTCTTCTCCGTTACGTGGTACGGAATTGAGACCGTCACGATAATTTTTGGGAATTGCTCTGACTCTCCCAAGGACATATGATCTCGTCAACAGAATCCCTGGCATCTTGCCATATCTCTTTCATCGCCGCTGTGATACTAGACTGGTGGTCTTCCCCAGTATGTGTTCCAAACGATAAGTTGGAGAACTTTGCAAGCACTGATGCCCGAGGAAAATAATCCGACCAGCCTTTCCTCGCCTCTGATCCTTGCGATAAATCGAAGTTGGCGGAGCCAGCGCCAGTACCGAAGAAGAATACATCCAACAGCCAGTTCCCAGCGATTCCTATTTGTAAACCATGTAGACTCATGCTGGATTCGGAGATGCTTCGATTATCATTCAGTGCAGGGCCACAAACTACTCGAAACTGATTGCTAATGCTGTACACTGCATCTGCGTGCTTCCTCAACGCCAAACCTTTCTGCCAATCCAGCGATACGTATAGATGGATATCATCACGTGGATCGTCTTGCTGTTTTCGTCCGAGACGTGCGGAACGGAAGAGTTGTAGACCGTACAGTGGCTTCCCTTGGACATCTGGTATGTCCAATCTCTTCATAGAAACAGAAAGTATGTGAAACGCTTCAAGCGCTATAATACCTCCCAGTGGTAAGGGTTCTACTGATGTCAACGGTTTCCAGCCTGCATCCCTGGCAAATCTGTACCAGGAGAGAGACCTTCCGTCGTCATACTACTGCTTCCCCCAAACGGTCTTGTCTAGCGTCCATCTGACCTTGGCGCGACGATCTATGATTTTTTGAATGCTCCCAGGCAAGCTGGGCCACCTCAACCCCGATGATAGGCCCTCTATGCTTTGGGTATCTAGTTGTAGTATCCAGGGCATCACCGAAGTGGATTTTCCGCTCATGTCTTTACGTGACTGCGGTGCCCAGTCGGGAGCCCACGAAGGGAGGCCTGAAGTGGTATTGGTAGATAAGGCCATGTCCAATACCTGAGGTATCAATCCTCCGTTATCGTCATTATATGTAAGCCAGTACATTGCCAAACCGGTGTATAGCTCCTGTTTACTGATGCTGTATCTACCGGTAGATCTCCCCGATCTTCCTCGCTGATTAGGCCCATTAGGCCGTATACACGATCGCGCAAATCACCGCACCGAGAGTCCTTCGTGGCTTTGAGCCATGATAGCAGGCTCATCTCGCCGTCTTGCTATCGAAGTGCTCAACCAGAGCCGAGGCTGGCTTCTTATGTTGGCCTGACAGGGATTTCTGCACAAGATCCCGGAAGTCCTTCCAATGTATTGTGTGCTTGCCGACACTCAGGGTAGCTGAGTTACCGAGCAGGACTTCCTGAATGACCCAGATGCGCGAGAAGTAGGGCAAACAAAGTATCTTGCTTACATCGGCGAAAGCAGTTCCAGAAGGATGGTCGGATCTCCTGTCGTTGTAGTGTGGCAATTCCGTGACATCTCCAAGGTCTTCGCTCCACTTTCCCAGATACGTTAGCACTCGGGCTGCAGACTTGTAAACATCTCTCATAAGCGAGACTTGATGACCCCGCTCATTCAGGTCGAACTGGTTGATACAAATAGCGTCGACCCATACAAGACGATCCGCAGAGGTTCTAAAGCAGCGTAGCGCCGCCAGGCAATTCTTCGTTACAGGTAGGATGTCGTACTGTGGGCCGACGAAAATGGTCTCGCATAGTAATGAGTCGCCTTGTAAATCTGCCCAGGTGTAGGAAAAGGCCTCGAAGGTCGGGCGAGACGGATCGCAAAGTCGATATACAAGGAGGGTACAATGGATAGGATGGCTCTCATTTGCGGGTACCGTGCAGGCGTAGGAGGCGAACAGAGTCGGCGTTCGGGAGGCTAGGGTATATGTTCTGAAAAGAAGGATGTGCTTCAGGTGGATTGTGCGGTCGCTCTACATCCTTGTGAGATAATTCCAACAACGTTTGTGACTGGTGGGTGGTATCGCTGCTAGTCCATTCGTCGATGTTCGCACTGATGAAAGCTAGCATCTTTGCATCTTGATGTTCAGCACCTACGTCATGTTCAGTGTCTTTCGCATGTTCCAAACTGTGTTCAAGGCTCAAGCGGTCGTTCTTGTCTTCAGGGCCTGCAAAGAGTTTGTCCTTAATGTGGGCTGGGTCCCCTTCAGCAAATTTGTGATTCAAAATGCTGTAAAGCATCGTCGTCCGAAAATTCTTCAGAATCCGATGCATAGTGGAATCTTCTCCCAGCGGTATGGGGCTCGACAAAACAATCATCGGAGAAGAGTTGCGGCGGCCATGTGCACACCAGTTGTGAGCGTGGAACATCTGGCGGAGGTCCAGGCGGCGAGATTGGATGTACAGGCGATAAAGCGGGCGCTTTACGAAGACAGGCAAGACATCCCGGTCGTCCATCTTCCCACTCCAACTTCAGTGCTGCGCATGTCGCGTCGTGCCACGCCATGGACCGAATTTGCGGCGAGCTCCACTAGGTAGATAAGAGAGACGTGTTAGGAGTAATGGTGAAGAGGCCGTCGAGGAAGGCTGGAAGATGCAACTACCCCGCCTCGGTTGCGGCCATTGGCCAGCCTTGCTGCATCCCACAGCCTCGTTGTGCATATGCGCGGATAGCTAGAGTCCAGTCCTGGTGATAAGCAAGTGGATTTCGATATGTCCCAAGAACGACAGTTTTGTATACCATCAGGTTGTAGACCGACCTGGTACCGCTGATGAGGTGAAATTACCTGTGAGACAAACTACTACTTCAGGCCACCACGAAACGTAGCGAGTGCTTTCTGGGGTCAGACTGAATGATGTCGACCATATTGAGAGACCCAACTCAAGCTCCCTGACGGATGCCACCAAAACGCTGGAGGACTTCAAGACCCAGGGACCATTTCCTGTCCCGAGGTCTGGAGAAGCCAGCTGGCACATGACAGCTGCGCATCATGACGAACTGAGGCATTGCACCCCAGCGTCTTACGGGCGTTTCGTGTAGCAATGAAGCCTGCACAAGGAGAGCTGCGGCTGAGGCACCACTGTCGCACAAAGTTTGCATAGTCGGTACGAGTTGTGGGGGTGGTGACATTTCAGCGGGGTCGCGAGAAAAGATGGTAGCGAAGCAGCAGCAGTGCGTTGGGCGACAATGTGGAGAAGAACAATGCGGACGATGGATGTCGGGGTACGCGATAGAGCTTTGTCATGTACCTCAGAGCTCAGATGCCGAGCTTGAAGATTTTCTCGTCGGCGAATTCGTGCTATGTCGGGGCTGAATTCTTTCCGCGTCAAGCTTCGCCGGGTAAGCACTAACTAGTGCAGGTGCAGCCAATCAGGGTTGTGGGCCGTCGGATCGAAACCAGGGGAGACCTCCGCGTGATTAACACCGAGCGACCCACGTGAACGAACCACCTCGGTAACAACAGCCCTCTCGCCATCATCGCTACCACCATTTGCTCCCGCAGCGAAGGGACTGGATTTGGATCTCTCGCTGTCCCTGGGTCACGCATCCTGACCGTGCATCGTGACCACATGCACTAATCAAGGGCGGCCCCGGTTAGACGTTTCCCAGCGTCGGGACAGGAGCGGAGGCTGGGGGTTGGTGGTGCTGGGCTAATGAGAGTGACTCGTGCTACACTGCGCGCTTAATTAGGAGCTCCGAAGGCCAGCGAAGTCGCGTATTGGCCGTTAGGCGTCCATGGCCAACAAGCGTCAGCAGTTCACATTCATCATGACCACCGTTGCATTAGCGTTCAGCCACATGTTGTCGTCTGGGGAAAGAGGCCTGTAGTGGTGAAAAGTATAGCGCAGGCCGTGCCATTGGCGCATCGTCAGCGCATCATCGTGATGAATCAAAGCAGGCGCAAGAGGCGGAGTGAGCCGAGTGTAGGGCGCCGCGCACCTGGTATTGGGGGCTAGCGCCGTTACCAGTCTGCTCCAGACACACGTTAGCCGACTCCATGGGCCACGAGAGACTCCATGGGCCACGATGGTGGAGTCTAGTGAAGTGGGAACCCTTGGTCGGGGAGCACCTCACGTGCGGCTCTGAAAACCTAGAAGCGTTCTAGACAGGAAAAAAACACCGTCTGTGCTCTCTCTGCCAAGGTCAAATCACAGCCGGTGCAAATGCCGGTCCGACACTTGTCAAATTACTAGGTTAGTCGGGCCAGTCGGGCCTGGAGAAGAAGCTGGAGCAGGCAAAACGCGGGCGACCATTCCCCAGAGAGTTGGTGGCGCGCACCCTTCACTGGGTTCCAGGCTAATGCACCCAATAGCAGGGAAGCACGGACCCCTACTAGTTGCGCCCGCAATGTTACCTTAGCCATTTCTGCGGTACACTTGTTCCGCAGAGCACTAGATCTCAAATCTCCAGCTCTGTTTATTAACCCTCAACTCACCCGCATCCCAGATTCCGATTCTTCGTCCAAGGCCGCGTGCGAGTTCTACCCTGCACAGCTTCAAGCAACGCGCTTCGTCAACTCACTCAGCGTACAACCCCCACGCAACTGCCCATCATGAGCCACAACAACGACCTGGCCGACGAGGCCGCCAACCCCAAGGGCATCCAAGCTACCACCGATGTCAACATGACTGAGTGCCCTGTCACATGGAAGGCCTACCTCCTCTGTGCCTTCGCCTCCTTTGGTGTATCTTCTTCGGTAAGACAACAACAGAACACAATCTCCACAATAACAGGGGCTGACCGCGTACTCAGGTTATGATTCCGGATACATCAACGGTGTGCTCAACTCGCCTCTGTTCATCCAGGAGGTCGAGGGCCCCATTTGCCCCCAGGGTCTCGACACTCCTGATGGCCTCTGCAAGATCAGCTCTGGCAACACCTCGCTCATCGTCTCTATTCTCTCCGCTGGTACTTCTTCGGTGCTCTCGTCGCTGGTGACCTTTCCGACATGATTGGTCGCAAGTGGACCATCGTTTTTGGATGTCTCATCTACATCATCGGTACGAATTTCACCCGCTTGCATTACGTGATGAAACCAGCCACTAACCCCCTCTTAGGAGTTGTTCTGCAAATGGCTGCCACTGGCCGTGACCTCCTTGTTGCTGGTCGTGCCATTGCCGGTATTGGTGTCGGTTTCGAGTCTGCCATCGTCATTCTCTACATGTCCGAGATTTGCCCCAAGAAGGTCCGAGGTGCGCTCGTCTCCGGTTACCAGTTCTGCATTACCATTGGTCTCCTGCTTGCCGCCTGTGTCAACTACGGCGTCCAGGGTTCGTGGTGACACTGGCGAGTACCGCATCCCATCGGTATCCAATTCGCCTGGGGTCTTATCCTCGGTGGTGGTATTGCCTGCCTTCCCGACTCCCCTCGTTACTTCGTCAAGCGCGGCCGTCCCGATGAGGCCAAGAAGGCTCTCATGAAGATTCGTGTGTCCACCCTACCGACCCCCAGGCTGCTGAGCTCAGGTCCATGGTCGAATTCGAGCTTGCTGAGATCATTGCCAACGAGGAGTACGAGCGCGAGCTTATCCCCGCCGGTGGCTGGATCTCTGGCTGGGCCAACTGCTTCAAGGGTTCTCTCTTCCAGTCCAACTCCAACCTTCGCAAGACTATCCTTGGTACCCTCGCCTCCAGGATGATGCAACAGTGGACTGGTGTCAACTTCATCTTCTACTATTCCACTCCCTTCTTGGAGTCGACTGGCGCCATCAGCAACACCTTCTTGATCTCCCTCGTCTTCACCCTGGTCAACGTCTGCTCCACCCCTCTTTCCTTCTACGGAATGGAGAAGTTCGGTCGCCGCACACTTCTCCTCTTGGTGCTCTCGGTATGTTGATCTGCCAGTTCTTGGTTGCCATCATTGGTGTCACTCAGGGATTCAACAACTCCACCACCCTCGCCGACGGCACCACCCGCGCCAACAACATCTCCGCCGTCAACGCCCAGATCGCGTTCATCGCCATCTTCATCTTCTTCTTCGCCACCACCTGGGGTCCTGGTGCCTGGGTCCTCATCGGTGAGGTCTTCCCTCTGCCCATCCGCTCGCGTGGTGTTGCCCTCTCCACCGCCTCCAACTGGCTCTGGAACACCATCATCGCCGTCATCACCCCCTACATGGTCGGTACCGACAAGGGTAACCTCAAGTCGTCCGTCTTCTTCATCTGGGGAGGTCTCTGCACTATGCTTTCGTCTACACCTACTTCTTGGTTCCCGAGACCAAGGGTCTGTCTCTCGAGCAGGTCGACCAGATGATGGCCGAGACCACTCCCAGGACCTCTGCCAAGTGGCGCCCTACCCACACTTTCGTCGAGAGCTCCCTCCAGAAGGGTGGCTCTAACCATGATCGAGCGCAACGGTCCATTGTCGTTGACACTGAGAAGAACCACCGCACTGCTTCCGTCCCACTAGATGGAGAAACGGTGTAGTGTTTTGTTCACGTCTTGATTGACACGAATGAGTCACTTGAATGATGTAATGTTTGGTTTTAGCTATACAGTACAGTATAGCATATTACTAAAGACACGGAATGGATAGATGCCCGGGCTGGAGAATGATACCTCTTTAGTTTATACTATAGCATAAACTACTACTTTAATCTTGAATTTCGAATGCTCTTCTTTCATGTGATGTCTTCTTTAATTCTTAACTTTGAAACGCTCTTCGCTTGGTGAGGTATTCAATCTACCTTTGATCTTGAACTCCGAAACCTCTTCTCTCATCTGACGTCTTCTATCTTTTCACATGTTCTTCTGCATCAGTAGTCTGCATCCATCTAATCACACATACTCAACCCCCGCCCTCTTCCTCCTCAACCCCCCCTCAACTTCTCATCCCCTCTCCTTCTCCCCCTTGCTCACTCCCTTGCTCGCTCCCTTCCTCCTCCCGCTTTCACCTCCGCAACACTCCTTCCCACCCACCACTGCGGATCATGAATCCCCAACCAACCCCCTTGCTTCACCCAATCCGGTCGCAGGACGCCGAATTCATTAGATCTCGAAGAGGGGTGATGAAGCTACGAGTGTGGCGTGGGTGCGGAGAAGGTTCAGGGCGACGAGCGTAGTGGGCTTTCTGGCGTTGGCTGGAATGGAGAAGCGCGTTGTTTGCGCTGGGGTGGTGTTGAGATGGTAGTGGGTGACGGTGTAGTTGATGCAGGATTTTACGCGGTGGAGGAGGGGGGTCCATCTCTGCACTGGTGGTTGCCTCGTCCAGCGAGGCGGATACCGAGGGTGTTGGGGAGGTAGAGGGTTGGCGGATAGCTGGGCGGGGAGTCCTTCGCCTTGGTGACGAGGGTTGCGGCGGAGATGCGGATGGTAATGTCGGCTTCTCGGTGCGCGATCGCTTGACTGGTGGTGATGAGGCCAGCTCGTTGTCTGCTCTACGCTTCGAGGATGTAGATGTCATGATGGCAGTAGACGTGTTTGTAGTAGGTCAGTGGTTTGGAGAAGTAGCAAGGTGTTGGTCAGATTCGAAGATCTCATTTGGATATCTAGACGATAGCATTATGCTATGGTGGAAGTGAAGGAGAGTGTGTCTGTAGACACAATAGCTCATGCGCCGAACATAACAGCCTCTTTCACCACGGTATCTCAGATCCTGATCACATTGACTGTACGCGTACATAGAGCCACACACATGACTGAACCGTCATTCACTGAGTCGGACAACCTCCAGTGCCACGAAGAGACATGTTCTCCAGCATCTTTGCAGCCTCCGGATCATCGTGGGTACTCTCTTCACCGATCTGATGCGTTCCAAGGGCAATCCACATAATGAGCAGCTCGATGCCTGGTAAATCAGGCTTGTTCACTTGCTCACGATGGTCTTCGACAACCTCCTTAGTACTTCAGGCTTCACGGCCCCGAGCTGGGTCGTACGTGGTCCTGGAAGCGAACGATTGGGGTGAGCTTTGTTGGTCAAGTATATTCCAAGTACACCAGTGATCTTGTCGGCGTAAGGTATGTTACCCTTAAAGCCCAGTTCGCGCATGACCCAATGTTCTGACTGGACTTGAGGACCCTTCCAGGCTTGAAACACTGGCATCGTGTGGGGCGTCTTGGGAAGGGCAGTGTAGAGAGCGTCTAGCCTAGACTTGCGCTGAGCCTTAGTGAGCTCTTTCCATGATCTCGCAGTGTTGTAGCCGTTCTGAGTTGGCGGGAGAGTCACCATCTTGTAGGACTTGGCAAATGCCTTTGCTGCTTTGACAGGATGATCCAGACCCAGTTCAGCGACACCCAAGAAACGGTAGAAGCGAGCGATAGCAGACAAGGGAACTGCCTCATACCCCAGGAGCTCGTTGTACTGTTTGGCGTCCTCAGCATAACCCACCTTCTTCGGTACATGGTCGTACTTGCGACCAATTTCGTCAACGGCCATGTCAGAGAAGAAGAACATCGCTTGTTCAAGTGAGACCATGCATTCAAGCGCATGAAGTTGAGCTAGGAAATCGGGTTCCAGACGTGTACTCATCATCTTGTTGTGCTCCAGTGTGATCTCGATGAACTTGAGTGTATCGCCCCACTTTGCGAATGCCATGTCTCCGTTCCCTATGTTGAATGCCATGTCGCCCATGCATTTGATGGAGAGGGCGATATCGTGAACTTCGGCGGCAGTAGCTCGTAGCCATGTAACTCCCTGGGTCATTGTCTGCTTGGCGCGTTCAACAAGGACAGCATCAAACGAGGTGGTGAAGGCGACCTGCTGTCGGCAAGCTACACCGCTGACTGTGATGAACGATGAGCAAGATTAGCAAATGTCTTATATACAATTCGCCGTGTCAGAACTTACCTTTCTCCATAGGTAAGATCAACCTCTCTTGATCCTCCCTGCTCAGAGTGCTGACGGTACCAGGCGGCTTGTGTAGTGCGAACTTGAAGTCGTAATCCATGAAGTTGGCGAAGTCCAGGATTCGTAGAACGCGAGCGAACTTGGACATGTCTTGCAATAGCAGCACTCCCACTATCGTCTTTCCACCATACATCGACTTCCGGTGGAGGCTGGGATTGACATTGACTTCAGCAACATGCTTGCCGAACTTCTCTATCTTCAACTTGAAGTAAGGTGCTTCGTGATTGATCAGAGCTGTTTCAATCATCGTACCATAGCCATTGTGAAGTTTGATCCACTTGTTGTCCCCGTAGAAGATGTTGGTAGCTTCCTGATTGATAGCCTTGTTAGTGCGAAGGACAGCGACCTGGAAGTCATAATCTTCGACGAGATAGCGGTTAGGTGGCCCACGAACGCGATCAAAAAGTAGCAGGTAGCGGAGGGTGTCGCGAAGGATATGCTGCGGCAGCACTTCCAGACGAGACATGATGGCGTACGCTGTCAGGTCACCGTGGCAGCTAATCGCTAGTGATGAGCGTGCAGGTGCGACTGTCGGCTGTCAGCTATCGCAGGGCTGTAAGTACACGGAACCCTTGGACAGAGCAACGCCCGAAACAGGATCACACGAATTGTTTAGTAGTGTCGAGGTGAATGATGAGAGTGAAAGACATCAACTCGACGGCCTCGACGAGCGTGATGAACGAATTCCCCGTTGACGACATCATATTCGTACAAGCTCCCAGGCAGCAATGTCAAGTGGAAGGTGCTGATGACTTCTCGTGTTCTGCAGCGAAAGTGAGTGAGTGAAGACGGGCAGCTGCGAACAACAGCCCTGCAGGGGTCTTGCCGAAGCTTACATTGATACAGCTTAGCGTCTTCGATTAGCTCAATCCCCTGCGCGTAACCCCAGGACCGGCTCTTCTCCCTTCGTACCTATCCGTCACGCAGTCCATCTCATCATGTCTAGCCATCTTCTATCTCTACCACGCGAACTTCGTGACATGATCCTCGAATTCGTCATCAGTGCGCACGTCGAGCCTCCAACATGTCCTGCATTAGATGACACCCCTCGCAAGGCCTCAGTAGGCTCGAACTGCTTGCGACTACCTATCTTGCCACCTTCCGAGCAATATGCTACTTATGGACTGCTCCTCGCGAACAGGCAAATATACCAGGAGACCACAGCTTGTCTCCGTCGCCTGCCGATGGCGTACTCTCTTGACGTCATGATGGTTAACCACAAAGAGCTCTGGCCCACATGGACCTGCTGTCCAGCTCGAAGCAAGGAGCCGATCGATTTCATCTCCATAAACGTGCGCGAAACCAGAAATAGACCGGCTCTCTACTTGAAGCGGCTTCACGACATTCTTCTCGAACAAGCTAGCTTTGCCAGTCTCCTAGAATACGTAGCGAGCGTATGTTGTCCAGGCCACCGGATAAGGATCGTAAAGCTGAACCTCCATACGCCTACTGTATCTGAGCACGCTCCGCACATAAGTACTGTGAAGTTAGACTGGCTTGGGTGGAGGGCGAATTACATACGGCAAATGCACCCTAGGATGAGCCCAGAGGATGCCATGAACAAAGAGGGCCTAGCTCTAAGGCTACTAACCTATCGAATCGCCTTCTTCAAAATTTCAGACTTACCGGTCACCACGTTGGAACTGGACGTCATGGAGCATAGATCGTGGGCTACAAAGTTTGACGAGATAGTCATTACCGTCGATGGAGACGGGAAGGCCGCACTGATCAGATCCTGGGAAGGAAACCATGCCCCATATCCCCATAGTGCTAAAGATGCACTGAACCGCAGTTTTAAAATTTTAGGAGCCTGTGTTCCGTCCACTGCCACAACCTTCCCGATAGAGCTTCGTCTCTAGCCTCCGCCGTCAATTTCTCCGTTGAGTCTACGCCCCCCGGCGTGTAATATCCTCCATTCCGCAATGCTCCTTTCTGCGCTCCGGCCGCACACCAAAGCTGATTCAAAACGCCTTCATGCGGCTCAAGCCACTTCTCGCCCGATATGCGCGACGTTACGTTGACGAACGTCTTACTCCAGCCGGCCATCTCGGTATTCATGGACGTCTTGACAAGTCCAGGATGGATCGCCACAGACGTCAGCTCGGGATGACGACGTGCGAGCTCCGCTGCGAAGAGGATATTTGCGAGTTTGGACTGTCCATAGCGGATCCATGCGCCTAGCATCATTCGAGACATGGTGCTTCCAGCGTCAAGCTCATCAAAGGAAATACCACCTTTGATGGCGCGATGGAATTCGTAACCAGCGGAAGTGTTGCTGATGATACGAACGTCAGCATCGGGCTCTTTGGCTGTTTTGAGCAGGATGGGCATTAGCTCTCTGGTGAGCATCGCATGGCCGAGATGGTTCGTCGCGAATTGGATCTCATAGCCATCAGTACTCAAGACTGCTGGCTTGGCAATAATACCGGCGTTGTTCATCAGTATGTCGAGGCGGTCATGTTTGAACTCCCGAGCGATGGCCTCTTTGACTGCGCGAAGGGACGAAAGATCCATCTTGATGAAGCTCAATGATGCATTTGGGTCCTTGGATTTGATTTCGGCGATCAGTGTATTTGCTGCAGCGACATTACGGCCTGTGAAGTAGATGTGTAATGGATTGTGCGCCGAAAGCGCTCGCACACTCTCTTCTCCCAATCCCGCGGTGCCTAATTCGACTGTAAGAAGGATACCAGCGTCGGGAAATAAGTTTACATACCTCCAGTAACCAAAATCACTTTCCCGGCAAGGTCTCGAATGTCCTTTGCAGGGTCGAAGTCTTTGAAGCCCTGCATGTTGAACCTTCAGCTAATAGGTGCGTTGATATCGACATCTCAGTTGCGGCAGATGCACAGCGACTCTTATATGCAAGGCATATCATCGTCAGCTTTCAACTCGGACGAAAAGTCAGGCTTGTGGCGCTTCTTCAAGGTGGTGGTGGTGCGACAGGTATCTCCGCCGGGAAGATGTATGGCCGCATCGTGCAAAACGCCGGGATGATCGTCAAGAGTGCAAAAACGCTATACCGTATTCGGCCACACACTGAACATGGCTGCAGACACATGTTTTCAAGACGAAAGATATCGCCTGTTATTACTCATGCTAATACTTTTAGAGTTGAACATTCAGAGTAAGGTAGAGAATGGATTACACGATTTGCCATGGTATCGCCCGGTCGCACTTGCTTGTAGATCGGCCACGCTAGCACGTCCCATGTGCAGCTACGCGTCCCGTCCCGTCGCATTCGTCGCGTTCCTTTGCAAGCCGTTTCCGTCTCACCACCTACCCCGAGTTTGTCAGACACTCTAGCGCATGCGATAGGTCGACCGTACGCCCAGTATAGTACAGGCTGCCGCCATTTTCGCTACCCAACCCGTTGGCAGTGTTAGCGGCCTTACAGAGACCGCGACGCGTCGCATTCTAGTACGCAACATGTTTCGGACGGCAACCAATTTTGCCGATGGTGGGATGGTATAAAGGCTCCGTAAGGGGTATTGCATCAATTTGCTTTTCCAAGGTTACCTAAAGATGAGCGTTGGTGGGGTATTCACGTTGGTCCAAATTCTGTTTCCCTTGCCTGGGGCGGATACGATCAAAAGTCGAGTGGAGTGCGCGGTTGCTTTACTACTTGTCTAGACCTTGTTGTCCGGACCTTGGTCGTGCGTCCCTTCATCCCATGCGAATTCTTTCGTCATAGTAATCCCTCTTTCCCTTCTCACACTCTGTGAGAGCTCGCTTGTGGTCACACTGCCTTCTTTGCACATGGCAGTGCCCGGGCACTCCCCATGCACAGTCGTTGTCGTGAGACACATTTCGTCTTCATCCATTCGAGACTTGCCCCAATGGCTCCGAGTACCATTGTTAACCGTGTCTCCCAACGTATCCTTGAGGTTGATCCTGCGCGTGCGCTTCTTGGATATCGTTTCGAGAGGGTTTAGCGAATTGCTGGGTGATTCGGAGTGCTGCGATGATTTAAAGGAGGATGGCAGGCGAGTCGTGAGTGCGTTGATGATTTGCATCATGAGCGGTCGCAGGGTGGGTAGGCATCCAGAAATGATACCGATGGAAGGCTCTACGGAGGACCAGATGAAAACGTCGCTCTTTGCCCAGCTGATGTCTTTCGACTGGACGAGGTGGGTGATGGTGATGATGCGGTAAAGCGAAGCAAAACAGACGCTGCACCTATTAGCGAAATTTCGTCGAAGGGACTGATGTTGGACTGTGACGTACAAGCTACCGAGTAGGAACGTGAGACAGACTGCCACCTTCTGGGTACGTCCCATGTGGAGCTTAAGTACGCTCGCTATGGGTATCGTAAGGATGCACACATCGCCAAAAAGGTTGATGATGCCGACACCGAGATAGAACTATATGTTGGTCAGTCGCTGTTTGGAGCTCGGTCTTGGAGTATTCCCACCTTTGCTTCGTCTACCTGGACTACGCCTTTATCTCCATACCACTGGTTCCAGTAATAGTGCAGTGGTCGCGTGTAGAGCGGTAGGACCACATGGTTGGTGATGAGATAACCTGTAGTGAGAGCGATGCAGAAATAGCCAAAGTATGAGAGGCCGAATATGCGACGATATAGCGCCAGAATTGAGAACTTAATGATGCATACACTCCATGCGTAGATGAAGACATATGCGAATGTAATCTAACTGTGGTCAGCGCTGCGATATTTGCGTGGTTCTGCGAGTCACAACGCACTATCGTAATCTGTCGCATCTCGTACGGTCCCAAGGACCATATGTGCTTTCCAAGGCCGTAGAAGCCGCCTGACTGGACGTTAGCATCTGTAGTCAATTTTGCGTGATCGATTGCTCTACCTGCAATGCAGCATGCTAAGTTGCCTGCATTCAGCGCCAAACCGAGGAACATAAGGTAATCATCTAAACCAAGTGGCTCACGCTTTACGTGCAAGCGAGTGTAGAGGCGCAAGCTCACGAAAACGAGAGAGAGGACGAAAAGTACAACGCCGATAGCGTTGTTAGAGGCAGTGCGGGATTCGGTCAAGTCCAGTCCAGGAGGGGGGTTTGCAAAGTAATCGAACGCCATGTCAAGAGCCGGTTGTCGTCGGGATCACGCAGGGTGAGTTGCGAAGTGTCAGAGAATGGTACAACGTTATTTGACGCAGAGGATCAAGCTGTATTATCGCCGTGCAGGCGTTGAGTTTTGCACCCTCATTCACTCGGCGGTTTTTTGTGTCACGAAATGCATCTATTGCAGTGAACCCATAAGGCCGTGCAACCCTAGATCCACTCGGATTAGTTTCCATCGTAATCGCACCGATTGTGCAACGAGTGAATGCCAGTGTTCTCGGGGGGAGTGCCGGTTTCGGTGAGGATTGGAGTCGACGCTAGCCGCGTTTGTTCAGGCTCACATGGCTGCGAGAACGCGTGTGTGACCAGCCGGGTACCTGATGCGCACTAGCCTATGATAAACGATCCCCGTGTGGAGTTGCATTGTTTGGCAACCCGGGAAAGGCTGGCAATTGAGCAATCGGACCTTTTAACGACACGGGAGATAACGACGTGCCGCAGCGGTTGCCGTACGGTGACCGTACCGGAAGCCGCGATCTTGGCGGGTAGCAAAGAAATCTGGGTCCACGACAGCTCTCTTCTCCGCAGTTTCACCAGCCTGTCAGTCCTGACTCAATCCATCGATTAGGAATCCCCATCATCGCACTGCAACACGATGGCGCCCAAGGAAACCAAGTTCAGGGTGGCTGCCGCCCACGCTGCGCCTGTCTTCATGGACAAAGCCGCCACCACCAAGAAGACTGTCCGCCTCATCGAACAAGCTGCGAAAGATGATATCAAGCTCTTGGTGTTCCCCGAGACCTTCATTCCTGGCTATCCTGTAAGTGCATCGGCTGTTAATCTCAAACTTTGTATGATGGGGCTAATGCTGATATTACCACAGTACTGGATTGAATGTTACCCACCCCTAAAGCAGGTCGCTGCTTTGGCAAAATATGCCGAAGAGAGCGTCGTGGTGGAGCCAAATGGGGAGGATGTGAGTGCCATCCAAGATGCCTGTCGCAGGACCGGTGTAGCCATCAATCTGGGCGTGTGCGAACGTGTCGCCAACGGCCATACACTGTTTAACTCGCAAGTTATTATCGATAGCGACGGCACTATACTCGGTGTTCATCGCAAGCTCCAGCCAACCTATGTCGAGCGCATGGTGTGGGCTCAGGGCAACGGAAGCACGTTGCGCAATTGGCCGTTGTCGCTCGGGTACAACCTCGGAGGACTCGCGTGTTGGGAACATACCATGAACGGCGCACGTCAGGCCCTCATCACACAGAACCAACACATTCATGCGGGAGCTTGGCCGGCCTTATCCACTATGGCCGGTTTCGAAGCCGTTGCCGACGCGCAGATCGAGGCGTTGATGAAGGCGCATGCCTTGACTGCCCAAGTCTTCGTCATCACTGCTTCCAACTACGTCGATCAACAGTGCCTCGACTGGATGGAAGAGAACCTCGGAAAGCAGGATCTCGTCAAGGCTGGCGGCGGCTGGTCCTCTGTCATTCATCCGTTCTGCTCGTACATCGCTGGTCCGCACACGGGCGGAGAAGAGAAGTTGGTGCAGGGCGAGATTGACTTCTCTCACATGGGATCGGTGAAGGTATGGATCGATGCGGCGGGCCACTACCAGCGTCCAGAGATTCTGCAGTTCGCGTTCGATGCGCGCCCACACTGGGCTGATGAAAAGACCGATCGCTTCAAGGTGCGTACAGATGAGAAGAAGTCGGATACTGAGAGTGGTTATCCGTCTCAGAGTGAGGTGAGGTCGAACTAGAGAGATGCAGTCTTGGCAAACTGTGCCGCATTGGCAGGCAGTCGCGATATGAAGTGGCGTGGTATGTGTGACATGTTACTGGTTGGACCTCGTGGAGGCTTAGCGACTCAGCCATCTTGTGCAGCCTCCCTCAGGCGGGGTCAGGTACAACTTCATATGAAGACCACTTTCATTATAACATCATTGTTACGTTCCCCAGAAATTCCGTTGTTCTTTTGTTATGCCGGTCACGTTCGGTGCCGTAGGCGACATCATCTCCGTCGTTTTGCTTGTGAAAGATCTAGTCGCAGCGCTCGACGAGGCTCGTGGCTCCAAAGCCGAGTATCAGGCCGCCGTACGCGAGCTTTGGACTCTCGACCGCACGCTCCTCGAAATTGATCTGCTTACTAGACAGCATGGGGATGGGGCTACGCCTGAGTTACGAAGTCTCTGCGAAACAGCGAAGCAAGCCGTAGCTAGATGCAATGACCGCGTCAGCGCCTACAAGAAGCGCATCCAGGGATACCAGCGCACTTTTGAAGTCGGCAAAGTGAACAGGGTCAGAGAGATTGGAAGAGCGATTGGTTGGAGGACTGGAGAGAAGGAAGCGCTGGAGCAGTTTCGCGCAGAGATCGCGGGGACTACATCAAGCCTCCAGATGTTGTTGATCACGGCAAATGTGTAAGTGGTACAATATTCCTGGGCAGAGTTGATGTTGAGACCGTATAGCACGTTACTTGGAGTGAGTCGGAAAGAGATGAACGACAAGCTTGACGAAGCAAAGCGCAGGAGCGACACCGTCACGCTGTCGAACGATGCATCACTCATCGAAATTAAAGACGGCATCGAGAATGCTAACCGTAATATCGAAGCTGCGAACTCAGTATTGGGGAATTTATCCGAAGCACTCAAGTTGGATTGGCTCCGACAGCTTGGTTCTGAGCTCAAAGGCATGATACGGGGCGCGATGACGATCAACTTTGCGACTTACCGTGCTGTTATGCGTCTGCAGACTTCACTCCCCAGCAGCCTAGAGCGAAGCATGTTCGAAGAGCCGATAATACTGGACGATCCCATGGGTCGTATTGCGCCTGTCCATTTGCAATTCATCACCTCTTGGGATGCTTTCCACTCTGTACTTGAGCTGCGTTTCCAGGACATGCCAGGCCAGATTAAGATTGGACAAAGGCAATACGCCTTACAAGCCAGCGGTACGGGAAGAGAGATCGAGTTGTCGCGTCCATGGCACGCTGCGTTTATACCCGGTCAGCGAATTGACATGAGCATCATCTTCAGTCAGGATGATGCTAGCGAGATCAGTAGCACTACCTGTCCAGGTTGCTTGACTCAATCGAAGAATTCCAGCGATGCTGAGATAGAATGCACAAATTGTCAGATCCGGTTCCGGAGGATCACCGTGATTCAGGATGACGAATCCCCGCTACAAGAAGATCAACATACTCGAGAGCCCATCTTGCGATCAGAAGCCACGGACGTCGGTAGTCAAGAACGGACTTTTTATGAGCTTGCTGAGCGCGAGGAAGAGGACGTGAGAAGCTTCAAACGAGTGCGACTCATCTCCAAAAGAAAGCGTGCTGGTAGGCTTGGACTCTTTTCGCCTAGGATAGCTGAGGTGGAGGCACAAAAGCTCCAGAGGAATCGAGATTTGGATAAACGTATGGATCTATGTGGAATACTAGATGGACGTTTCCCGCACCGTCGATCGCGAAGATGGAACAAAGTCTCCAAGAGTTACCCTATTCTTTACGGCATTGGCATTTTCAAATATGAACTTGATCGCCCGTCTTCAAAATTTGCTAGAGAGAGCGTCTTGTATGGCTATCACTGAGGCGAAGAAGCAAGAAGACGCCGAGAAGACACCTCAGTTGGAACGATTTATAGTCGCTCAGAACGAAGAGCGACTCTAGCGTGAGTGAAGTATGAACAGCGGTATGAGAGAGAGGCATCATGTGTTCAAACCGTAAGAACAAGAAAGATACACATTAGAATACATCTCGTTCTTCTGGTAGCCACTACCATTCTCTCCTACATACACCACTTCTTCACCTGCACAGCCTTACACCCATCCTTCCCAAGATACCAATCATCACAAAGCGTATTACATTCAACACCCGGCTTCACAAACACCCTACCCTCCTGGCTCGGGTCACCGTTCGGTGTACCATACCATGGCAGTCGCCATTGGACCTCGAGATCGTTGGCGTCGTAGCCTGTCGCACCTGTTGGATGTGTTAGGAGACCTATCGATGGGAGGATGGCGGTTTAAAGGAGGGAAGTGGGGGGAGACGTACGGTAACCATGGCGGCAGGCGCAGTAATTTGGTCCGGGTGTATGAGGGTTGTTGTGGCCCCAAACGTAGGTGCATGATGTAGTGATGTCGCACTTGTTCTTGTCGGGGGTGGGGACGCATGTGTCGCAAGGGGGTTCGTAGGGTGGAGAGAGAGCGGCGGTGAGGCCGAGGAGGGAAGAGATCATGGCGATGGTGAATGTCCTCATGATGAGATCCTGAGAGGGGGTAGCGCAAGTTTGATGAATAGTTAGACGATCGAGGTGAGAATTGTTGTACTGGATTGCTTTGCTTTATGCAGAAGATGAATCATGAGCGGAGTGACAGGGTGTTCTTATACTCGAGATGCTCTATCGCAGCTGTGTGGGTTCTACTTCAGCATCGTATCCCACTCGCGCCATTGGATCACCACCAAGACATGCATTCCGTATCAGCGTTCGAGCACCGACGCTCATGACCAAACCAGTACGAAGTCTTCTCAGCTAACATGGTATTGACACGTAATTCTGGGCTATCATAGTCTTACAAGACCTCTTGATCTCGTACTGCAAGACATCCCTAGTCCCCAAGAAACAAATCCATACACGCAAATAAAAGCAGCGACTCAAAGGCTTTCTCCGCATCATCTAGCGCTGCCGACAACCGACTGCTATAAAGATGCTATCGGGTAAATATAGCAAAGATGGCTGAGTTGAACATCTGATGATATGTCCTCTCGTGGTCAGGAGATCTCGTATTGCTTCCCCGCATTCCTCAGCTTGCTGATGAAGCCGTAACACGAACACTAGTGGCTTAGGATGAAGCACATCCCGTGAAGATTGCTCGCTCATGTGAAAGTGCGGAATGAGACAGAAAAGTGTGTTGCTAATTGTGTAACCGGGATATACCAGTGTTATGCGACTCCAGAACGCCATGCCATGATGCGTGTGCAACGGGTTGTCATCATATCATCTCTTTCCCTTCTTGAGCACCAGCCCCTTCCAGCCCTTGCTATCCTTGATGCGCCTGAGTGCTTTGCTCGCAACAGGGTCCTTGGCCAAGTCATCCAAGCAAGCTTTCTTTTCCTCTTCGCTCTCGTGCTCATGGAACTCGCACCATTCCTTCTCCATCTTTGGCCTCTCGCCCCTCGCCAACATTGTTACCAATTCGAAAAGGAACGCTTGCGGAAGCTGACTCCGCAAAGCTATGGTGCGCTCATCGTCGCGATCGGGGTTCCAGTACACAGAGTACATATCGAGGAAGTATCGGCACAGCGGTGCGTCTGGTGGCAGGCTCTCGTAGGCGGCGATCACGTTGCTGTGATCGGGCATCACTTGTAGGATCTCGTCGTTCGTTTGCCATGCTAGGATGACTGCGCGACGTAGCTTCGGGATGGCGTAGCGGTGTGCGAAGACGTATAGTGATATGAATCGGCGCTCTAGGAAGCCTTCGAGCCCTCTCCACTTGTATGGTCTTGAGCAGCATGGGCACAGCGTCTCTTTGGGAATCTCTGGCTTCTCGGCTGGGTTTCGTGGAGGTGGTACTATAGCAGCCTTTTCGGGTTCAGCATCGCCAGGGACTTTCTCCGCACTGGGTGCAGGGCTGCTAGCTGCAGCAGCGTTGGTCGGTGTTGCTTCTGCTTCCGTGTCGTCGGTCTCTAGAGCGATGCCCCATGAGGCAGTATCCACATCATCACCCTCCTCCTGACCGGTGGTGCTCGAGCTGTCGCCGCCATTGACACTGACTGCATGAGTCGGAGGGTGGACCTCCTTCCCCCCCTCGATAAGATGGTGCGGTATGAAGCCTGTGTATAACCATAGCATGAACGCGTCAAATACATCAGGGGTTGTGTCGTCGAGGTCTAGCGTAGTTCCCGACTTTTCGTAGGGCGAGTTGCTCTTCTCTTCTAAGCATGTGTTGAAGTATGGGGAGCATCGTCGGAGGAGTTCACGATGGCAGCTGAAAGACTCGGCGTACTCTTTTCCGCCGACTTTTACTGTGATGATCGTCTGATCAAAGTTTCTGCCTCTGGTTAGCGGTTCAGCTTGGGAAATCTGAATGTTATAACGGTACTCACCGGAACGTGTGTCCAAGCGTAGTAGCACCTTTTGAGTGCATGAAAGGCATTTTGAGTAGATAGTCAGGTTCCATTCATTGTCGCCTTACTGTGGACTTTATCGCCATTATATCTCTACTTTCCAGCCCGGGTAATACGGGGAGCTCAGTTTCAGCAATCGTGACAGATGCATCTTGGCGTTCGACCTTGCGGCGGTTGAATGCTTGTACGAGCTTCTGTGCCCTGTTCGAAGAGGCTTAAGCGGGGTGACAATGAGCTTAATTGAAACCGACAGGCCCTAGAGAACGAGTGACGGCTGGGCTCAGCTGGGCGATCTTAGAACGAGGTAGGGGTCTTGTCGAGTCGTGCGGGAGAGGATGAGTTTGATAGCCGTTTCATGATGCTTGGCGGGGAAAGCATGCCTCAGCCGACATCTGGCTCGCACAAGATCTTCATGGCGGTGAAGTTGAGCCTGGCATCTCCTTGCGCGTTGCCTAACGTAGCGACGAGTGGTGCCGCAGGATGGCCTTGGTGATGAAGTGGTGTTGGAGCGTGGTTGAAGACGCGTCGCGTCCCCGCGATCGAAGGTTGGATCCGTGCACCACTGGCCCACTGCGTCATCGTTCCCAAGGAACCGCGACGGGCCTCAACACCAAGCAAGCACAATATAGACTTTACGAATCAGATAGTCGCCGAGCATGTGCGAAGGAAGACAGCTCGTATTGCAAGGCTTACCCCGCGTCTGTACGATGTCAACCCCACTTCTGATGCAGTCATCAGTACTTGGCCGTAGCTATGCGTATAACTGTGCCGTTGGGATGCGCAGTCCCATAGTTCGATCCATATTTTGAAAGATATCAAAGATCGATTAACTCGAGATGGCTTCTAAACTCGACACCAAAGCCTACCCAGGCAACATCATTAACAACGAGCTCATCCCAGCTCCTGAGACGCGACATTCCATCAATCCAGCCACCGGCCAACCGCTCTACGAAGTGCCAGTAGCCAGGAAAGAAGATCTCGATGCTGCCGTAGTTGCAGCGCGCAAAGCGTTCAAATCATGGAGCTCCACACTCTTCTCCCAGCGAGCACATCTACTCCTCCAGTACGCCGACACGATAGAACATCACCGCGATGAGCTGGAGCAGCTCCTCACCGAAGAGCAAGGTAAACCGCTATCACTGTCCCGAACCGAGATGGATAGCAGCTTGACATGGCTACGCGCCTTCGCGACAATGGAGATCAAAGACGAAATCCTGCAAGAAGATGACGAAAAGGCCATCTACTCAACCCACCCACCCATTGGTGTATGCGCTGGCATCGTACCCTGGAACTGGCCTATCCTGCTAGGTCTAGGCAAACTAGGTCCAGCACTCATCACAGGAAACACGTTCATCATGAAGCCATCGCCGTACACACCCTACTGCGACCTCAAGCTCGGCGAGCTGGCCATGACCGTGTTCCCACCAGGCGTCGTACAGGTACTCAGTGGAGACGATAGACTCGGTCCTTGGATCACAGAGCACCCTGGTATCGACAAGATCGCCTTCACAGGATCGATAGCAACAGGCAAGTTGGTCGCAGCATCCTGTGCGAAGACGCTGAAGCGGTATGTGCTGGAGTTAGGTGGAAACGACGCTGCGATTGTGTGTGAAGACGTGGATATCGATAAATGCCTGCCCAAGATCGCGACGCTGAGTTTTCTCAACTCGGGCCAGATATGCATGTTGACGAAGCGTATCTACATCCACGAAGCCATTTACGACACGTTCCGGGATAAGATGGTTGAGTTTACAAAGAGCAATATCAAGACTGGTGCTGGCACGGAAGAAGGCGTGGTGGTAGGACCATTGCAGAACAAGATGCAGTGAGTACAGATCCATCCTCTTCAATCAATCGCTGTACTGACACATTGCCCAGATTCGACAAAGTCCAAAACATGTACGCCCAGATCCCCGCGCAAAACTGGAAAACCGCCCTCTCAGGCACCGTAACCCCAACCCCCCAAAACGGCTACTTCATCACCCCCGCCATCATCGACAACCCACCCGAAGACTCTTCAATCGTACAAGAAGAGCCATTCGGTCCCATCGTCCCGCTCCTCAAATGGCGCGACGAAGACGACGTCATCGACCGAGCGAACGCGCTCAGAACGGGGCTGGGCGCGTCGGTATGGAGTAAAGACATCAAGCGCGCGGAGGGCATGGCACGGAGGTTAGAAGCTGGGAGTGTCTGGGTGAATTCGCATTTCGATGTTGATCCTCGAGTGCCGTTTGGGGGGCACAAGGAGAGTGGGGTGGGGATGGAGTGGGGGATGGAGGGATTGAGACACTATACGAATAGTAGGAGTTTGTGGGTTTGGAAGAGGGTTTTTGAGTAGGGTGATAGGGTATGCTATCAAAGCGATAAATGATTTACCATTCAGCAAGTAACGATGATATTTTCTGTTGTGGTTTAAGCTTTGCTGCCGCCCCATTCTCTCCACCACTCGTAGAGTGCGATGCCACCTGCGGTTTGCACATCTTTTGACAGAATTAGTACGTTGTTCTTGATGTGGACAGTGTAGTTGAAACTTACTCAAACTCCTGGTAACTCCTACGGTCTTGATCTCGACATTGCGATCAATGACAGCCAGCACCTCCGCGGAAATACCTTCCTTCTCACTACCTAGCACAAGACAGCACTTCTTGGGTAGCGTACCAATATCCTGGCTTCTGACCTCCGTTTCAATCGTCTCTCGATTCACGACATCATTCTTACTATGCTCGCTCCCCAATATGCCACTCCGATCTGTCTGCTCAATACCAACAACCTCATACCCTTTACTTTTTGCATCAAGCAAGAACGCCGGCACACCAACTTCTTTCAACTCATTGATAGCAAGATGCTTCTCCGATCGCACACTGGTAGCCTTAAAGTCTTTGTGCGCGACCTTCTTAAGGTCGTCGATGTAGAGAGCTTCGAGACCGAAAGATTCAGATATACGGGAGAGACCGCCCAGGTTAGTGGGATTGTCGATAAGAGATGCAACAAGCATGACAGATGCGGGGCGTGCGTTTTGCATGCTGGGTGGGCCGCCGGGTGGGTGGAGGTTGTCGAGGTCAATGCCGGCTTTGGTTTGGAGGGTGATTTGGCCGGTTGGCTCTGCGGTGGCAGGGACTGGGGTGGTTGTAGCTGGTACAACGACGTCAAAGCTGGGTTTGGTCTCTTTACCGAGTGCTATGCGTGCAGGTGGCGGATTTAGATGACTTGACTGATCATCGCGTTCGAGAGCCTCGAAGTCTTCGTGAGTGACGACCTCTGGTTCCGGCGTCTCGATCGACAGATATCGGCCTTGGAATATGCCTGTAAGGGTGAAATCTTGTTGGATGTCCACTTTCAGTGTTCTTATCGTCCATGGAGAAGCGTTGAACTTGTCCAGTCGGCGGATGAATGCGTTCATACCTGCGAATGCAGGATTCTCGGTGATTCCCTTCCAGCCCTTCTCGACAGCTACGTCGAATACGATGGGAAACGCGAAATTTGCTTCGTGGCGGATCTGGACCTTGGGACTGGCGGAGTAGGAGTTCAGGTGTGTAATGAACTCTACGGCAAACTCTTGAGTTTCGTATGGCGCGACTAAAAGACCAATCTTCATCAAACTCGCGATATGGATAGGGCTGTATTCTTCCAGATTTCCTAGCTCTTTTAAGATACGTGGGGAATATTCCGGGTACTGGCGGTAGATGCGGGCGATGGCCCATTCGAGTAGATAGCGGTATCGTGGCCATGACTCTAGCACTAAGGCACGAGTGAGAGGGTCGAGATAATGCTCCACAAGTATGTCCTCCGCACAGTAATGACTCATCAACAATATTGCCTGCAGTTGAAGAGTGTTCTTCCATGGACATTTGACTGCGACCGGTGGTTTCTGATCCCCCCAGGAATACATCAACTCATCCAGTATAATCTGAGCAGTATCTGGATTTGAGCAACCCGGGTCATTCGGTATACGATGCAGAAGGTCTATGACCGCTGCGTATGCGTGCCATTCTCGCATACCGTAGTACGATGTATATGTTCGATGCGGTAAGTATTGTTGAAGCTTGTCGGCAGCGGCAACCTCAAACAAAAATTCTGATCTGATTGATGCTGGATCGTTGACAAAATCAACAATGTACTCTCCGAAGGGGAGAACTTTGATTGCAAATGGGTCTGCAAATGCAGCTTTGCGTAACGAGCGAGCAAGTATTGCAAGAATGTAGGAACGTCCCTTGGATAGCTTCATGAGTCGTCTCATGGCTTTTGAGAGCAGGAGATGGATGTCTGAATCTGAGGGAATTTTCTCCCGCCAGTGTCTAACACAGACTTCTATGCATGTCGGATGGAATAGTAGAGCAGGTAGGTGTACAGCAAACGGTCTGATGAAGTCGCGAATCTCAGCCTCTTCCCATAGAGCTGCCAACACGGTGTGCAGCTCGTTCGCGTCGATCTTGGCTAGCTCAGTGCGGTCGAGGAGCTCCAGCACGCTCTTGCACGCTGGCACAAAGGCTGAGCCTTGTATGCAGCTATGTTTTGAGTCGCGGAGGTCGTTGATGAAAGACTGCATAGTAGGTAGCCCGCCATCTCTTGTGCCAAAGGTTGCTTGGAGCGCAGACTGATCCACTGGATCTTCCAGTTTTCGGCATTTAGCCCGCAGGACTTCGCTAGTAGCTACACCTTTCGACTCGAGATCAGGATCGAGAAGATCGCACAGCTTTTGGCAGTGAATGCTGTGCAAGTCACTTGCTACCTCAGGCATCCCAGGCAAGCGTGACAAGCTGATAATCTCGGTAATTTCCGATATTTCCAGCTTGTGATGCTGTGGGCTTCTTTCGTATCGCGTCTTCAGGCCTTCGATGAGGCCATGCATCAGGTACAGTATCGCTGGTTGAAACATCCTCCCGCCGGCGTTTACGAGGTAACGAACGATCCCAAGAATGATTGCACGGCCATTGCGGTTGTCCACTCCAACTTCTGAGACGGCATAGTCAACTGAAGGTACGAATGATGGACTGTCTTCTGTATCGGATACAAAGCGCGAGATGACTGTAGCGAGTGCGTCACCGTGAGCGCACGTCGTTGATGATCGTGTGGCAGTGAGAGTCGATGTGAAAAGACTACCATCCGTCGCCCAAGGGAGGAAACCGTCGAATAGGAAGTTTATGTGGCCACTCAAGTCACCCCGGCGCTGCAAATTCAAGGTTAGCATCAGCAAGATCAGCCTCTAGCAAGTCGTAGGCTTTGCCCATGAAGATCGTTTCGTTGCGTAGCTAGTACGATACCGACAACAACGATACCGGTTATGAGGACAGAGGGGATGTTTACTTACTTCGATAACAAAGTCCATGTACCAGCGGCCGATCATCTTCCTAACGCTCTCCTGTATCAATGGGTTCAAGGCTGCGGTAAGTAGAGTCGTTGTCATCGCGGGAGTGATTCTAGAAGGATTTATTGCCGAAGAAGACCCAAGAAGCGTCGTCATGGACTTCAGGCAATCTTCGACCTGGCCAGAATACCGATGAAGCACGATGGTCTCAAATAGGGTCGTATAAAGGTCATACTGCTCCCGTTCTTTGCCACTGGCCTCGTATCGCATGGTAGGTGTGTCGATATCTTCAGAAGTGGCAAAGAAAGATTGGCGGATGATCCCAAGGCAGTATTTGCGTTGATCTGCATGGCCTTTCACAAGACCCAGTCTAAGCTTTCTCCAGTATTCTTCGGTGCTCACACATGTAAACTTGATCCCAGCGGAAGCGGCAAGCGATATCCATTGGAACCAACTCCTGTAGATCTTGCTAGATCGAGCAGCGAAACATGCCATGTCGAGTGCATTGAGTCTGTTCCATATTGACTGATCAATGACTGCGCCAAGATCGGTGGGCGACCTTTCTCTTTTGCTCTTCAGCAATGAAAAGAAAGCAGATAAAGTATCGTGTGCAGTATCATCTAGCCCTTCGATGCCGATGAAGCTCGAAAGGAGAGTGAGAGATTGCGAGTCGACCATGTATGAAGACGCGGCAGGTATCCAAAAGGAGCATTTTAGGAATTCGAGATAAGCTCTTGCTGTTTCGATGCTTTCCACATGTGTTTGTCCAGCTGATAGATTCGTGGCTAGGGTGAAAAGGCTTTGCTTGAGTTTGGAGTTGAGAAGAGATGCGGCATGCGAGCCGTGGGTGAAGCATATCTCAGCAATCTCGTAGAGGCTCTCCGGTGACCCTTGATCGACTAGACGGCCCAGCACGGTATTCCATAGTTCTTCATGCTGCGGAGTACTTCCAGTCTCTCCATCGGCGATTTCGCTGGGCAAGAGTCGCACGCAGATATCGAGTGCGCCGATGTCGATTCCCGATGCAGCTTTTACTTTCGCCAGGCTGCCATCAAAAGCTACTTGTCGGGTGTGTTCGTCCAAGAGACTTAGTACTGCAGCAGTAGCCATGTCTGGTGGTAGCAAGTGAATCTTGCGCGGGCGTGATAGGCATTCCTGGTAGTGCGCTCCTCAAGCGAGGTGTGGACAGGCCGTCGTAGGTATCCTGGTTTTAAATCTGACCGCTGGATGCCTGTTCTCATTAAATGAGTGATGGTAAGCAAATCGCGCGCGAATGAATATTAGGTTGAGTCGAGTTCTGCTTCTTGCATTGTTAGAGTTCACGTCGCAGGGTCGACACCAGTCACATTTTGCGCCCGCCTCAGGTGGAAAATTTAGTCGCTACCGCGATGCACAGCCGGCCGAAAGTGCGTTGTGGACAGCATCAGTCCAACAACGTGTCGGAACGAAAATGAAGCCGTACAAGATTGCTATGGGCAAAAGACAGATGTCTTGTATCGACGAGGGAACGCGACTTAAACTGGAGCATGTTACGTGGAAGGCGCTGGGACGAAAGCCGTCATTGGTGACTGCAAGGTATCCGACTGATAGTCATTGATCCTTCACCGGATGCTCATACCAGAGTAGCACTGCATGCGTCTAGACAGCTTCACCGTCTGTTGATGCCGACTAACTCTTGCTTTTGGCCAGGTTGTCCTGTCGCGTCGTGTGCATAGTCGACAGGCGGGGGATGCTGTTGGTACTCGCCGGTACGTACCTAGATACAGATCCGAGTTGAACCCACCCTATCTGATGTGCTCTCACCAAGTGCAAGCTTCCCCAGCAGATCTCGGAAGCTATTAGACACCCCCTTTGGTCTGGTCGCGTCGCGCTGTGATGGCGCGCGCGTCAGTGGGGTGCTTGGCAGTGACGTGTTATCGATCGCACACGGCAACCGCGTGTTGACACGGCCCAAACAATGGCCCACGAGTCATGGGCAGAGCGATCCGTGCTCCACCTCAACACCGCCTATGCACCTGCTGTACATTCACCGGTCGCAACAGCTCTTGGACTCTTGCTACCTCATACTAAACGGTATCTTGGACTACAGAATGTATCCCTTACACACAACCGCCTCTGCGCCTTCCATGCGCGCATCCGACGCATCGTATCTTCAGACGCTCTCAGCACCCGCGCCCATGAACGACGACCCCGGCAATGTCAAGGTGGTGGTGAGATGTAGGGCCTTTGTGCCGAGAGGTAGGATCATAGTACCCAATTGATACGTATAGACACTAACAAAGGCTATAGAGAAAGAAAAGGGTACGAAATGCCTAATTCGCATGGACCCAGCGACACAAAAGACAACACTGTATGCGCCAGAAGAGAACGGAAACAGCGGACGCCGTGTCCTGGATGACAAGGAATTCACGTTCGATCGCTCATACTGGTCGCACGACGAGTCCGATCCGCACTACGCACACCAAGAAGACGTCTACCGCTCTTTTGGTGAGGAGTTCCTCGACCACAACTTCGGAGGATACCACACATGTATCTTCGCGTACGGCCAGACGGGATCGGGAAAGAGTTACACCATGATGGGCACACCAGACAACCCAGGCTTGATTCCGCGAACTTGTGAGGAGCTGTTCGATCGAATCGCACACGAGCCTTCACCCAACACCAACTACCACGTCCAAGTCTCTTACTTCGAAGTCTACAACGAGCACGTACGAGATCTGCTCACCCCGAGGACGACCCCGCCCATCTACCTTAAGATCCGCGAGAGTCAGAAGGATGGTGTATACGTGCAGGGCCTGACCGAGGCTGAAGTCAAGAGCTATGCTGATGTTGCGCGCCTGATGAAGATTGGCGACATGGTAGGCACACCACACATGACCCTCTAGACGACATACTAACAAAGGTGCAGAGCCGGACTACTGCCTCCACCAAGATGAACGACACCTCATCACGATCCCACGCCGTCTTCACTATTCGCCTCAAACAAATCACCCACTCGCTTCTCTCCGATGAGACCATCGAACGTACAGCACGTATGCGTCTCGTCGACCTCGCTGGTTCCGAACGTGCGAAATCGACAGAGGCTACTGGAGCTCGCTTGAAGGAGGGAGGGCAAATCAACAAGTCTCTTACAACACTCGGTCGCGTCATCGCTGCACTGGCAGACCCAAGACGACACGGTGCCAAGGGACGGCGACCACGAGAGGTTGTGCCGTACCGTGATTCGGTCTTGACTTGGTTGTTGAAGGACTCCTTGGGCGGTAACAGTAAGACAGCCATGGTTGCTTGCATTGCACCGGCCGACTACGACGAAACTCTTTCCACCCTACGTTACGCCGACCAGGCAAAGCGCATCCGCACACGTGCTTTGGTCAACCAGGACTGCATGTCGGCTGCACAACGAGACGCCCAAATCGCAGAGATGTCAGAACAGATCCGCAGTTTACAGGTGTGTGTTAACGCGGCCAGTCAGCGCAAGAGAGAGGAAGCCACCGAGCTGGATGAGTACCAGAGGCAGGTCGCACTCATGCAGCGCCTCATGGAAGAGAACCGTCAAGTCTCCGCTGCCAAGATCAAGGCGCTTACTTCCGAAGTCGAAGAGCTGCGTCCCACAAACGTAGCTCTACGCGCAGAGATCGACTCATTGCGCCGCCATCTCCAGCTCGCTCTAGGAGAGCTCAAGAACCCTATCGTTCTGCCACCACCACGGGAGCTTGGAACGCCGGACTTCGAGAACGAGTCGTGGCTAGGTGAAGGGGAGGGTAAAGAGGGATCTGTGCCTGCTCCTGATGGCGAGGCCAGCGATGATGACTCCGATTCAGGCTATGATGAAGGTGACCACGATGAGTTGGCGCAGGAGCTGCACAACGAAGCGGAGGCGTTCCTCCAGGACTTGGGCATGTTCCGCAAAAAGGTCGGCAGCGACGTCGATCGCTTCGGTATCCGTGAAACACTTGCTGAGCTCATTGGAGGACACTGAGTGGGGAGCAATTCTTGATGTTGACTATGCGACTTGGTTCGGAGGAAATCGGACTTCCAGGCGCACAGATTGGTTACGAATGCATGAGCGACGGCGTTTTTTTTTCAAGTTGGACTTGACAGTGCTTAAGTTTAGTATACCAGTATATAGTTACCAAAGACAATGAAAGATATCCCATGAGGTTCGATGATTAGCGAAGACATCGGTTTTTTGTGAGCTGAACGCTACATTCCAACAGACCCTGGAGTGTACATTGCACCAGGCTTAAAGCTCTACAAGCAAGAAGCAAAGCGTGTTTTTGGCTAGATTTGGTGTTTGGGCGAACTACTCAAAGGCAACCTTCGTAGGTGTTGCGGCAGCCTCGGCGGGAGAGCTATGACCTCAACTTGAAGCTCCATCCAGGCACACCAAGCCTCCGACAACTTCGCGCGATGATACCCCGATAGTCGCGCCCAACCATGTCCAAGCCAACAGCCAACTGGGAAAAGGTCGGCGACAAGTTTTATAGGAAGGTGCAGCTCTACCAGGCTGTCTTCGACGCGGATCTCGAGCTCGAGAACTACAATGTGGTGGGGGCGCCGTATAGCGGTGCTGTAGGTAGGTACGTCCCACAGTCTGCCGACGATTGCGCAAACATGTGGCCGGCGACTGACTTCCATAGCTGTCTACCGCGATGAGGAGAAGCTGCACACCTACCGTGGTCCTGGCGCGTCCAAATCAAGCATCGACATCTACAGCTGCGCAGGCAAGCTGATACGCAGCATCAACGTATGCAACCCAATACATCCGCCGAAAGACTGAGGACTACGTACTGATAGGCAATAGTGGGACAAAGGCACAATCAAGGGCCTGGGATGGTCGGAAGACGAGAAGCTGCTGGTCATCACCTCGGACGGAACGGTGCGCTGCTACTACGACCTTCAAGGCGATTTCGTGCCCTTCACCCTCGGCCACGGCGCAGACGAATACGGTGTGGTGTCCTGCAAATTCTACAACACCGGCTTTGTAGCGCTTCTCGGGAACAACCATCTCATCTCAGTCACCTCGTACGCCGAACCGCGCCCCAAACTCCTCGCCATACCGCCGACCGAACCCGTCATATCATGGAGCATCATACCGCCTGCCTACTCGCTCTCGCGATCGGTGGAAGTCATACTAGCGATTGGCTCCACGCTGTACGTCGTCGATGCAACCGAGGCAGAAGATCGCAACTTCGATGCCGGACCGTTCAGGCACATCAGCGTCAGCCCGCGCGCAGAGTTCCTGGCCTTCTACACGGAGGATGGAAAGGTGTGGGTTGTCAGCGGCGACTGGAACGACAAGCTGAGCGAGTACGACAGCAAGATCAAGACAGTGCCAAAGGATATGGAATGGTGCGGCTCGAATGCTGTCGCGTTAGCTTGGGAAGACGAAGTACACCTGATCGGCCCTAGAAGTGCCGCGACCAAGTTCTACTACGACACCTGGGTGCATCTATTGCCCGATGTAGATGGCATACGACTCCTCACGAACGACGTCTGCGAGTTCATACAAAAGGTGCCGGATGAGGCGGTGGACGTCTTCAGGCTAGGCTCCGACTCGCCTGCTGCAAATCTGCTAGAGGCGTCTTCGCTACTAGAACAAAAGAGCCCCAAGGCAGACGATCTTATACAATTGATACGACCGAGTCTGGGCGAGGCGGTGGATACATGCATCAAGGCCGCTGCGCATGAGTACAACATCCATTGGCAGAAGTCGCTGTTAAAAGCGGCTTCGTACGGAAAGTCAGTACTGGATTTGTACTCGTCTGACGACTTTGTCGATACGTGCGACACACTACGAGTTCTGAACGCCGTACGCTTCTATGAGGTTGGCCTGCCACTGAGCTACGATCAGTATCGCCGCATGACGCCTGAGAAGCTCGTTGAGCGTCTTACGAATCGCAGCGAATATCTTCTCGCATTGCGCATAGCCGAGTATCTGCATCTTCCAGCAAACCAGATCCATGGACACTGGGCGCAGCAAAAGGTGCGCGTGTCGACTGACCCAGAAGAAGAGATTTGCAGTCTCATAGTCAAGAAACTGCATGGCAAGCCCGGTGTCTCATTCGAAGAGATTGCACGGGCGGCCTACGATGAAGGTCGCGTGCGACTGGCGACCGAACTCCTCAACTACGAACCCAGAGCCGGCAAGCAAGTACCGCTGCTACTCAACATGAAGGAGGACAATATTGCCCTGGACAAGGCGATTGAGTCCGGCGATACCGATCTCATCTTCCATGTTCTTCTACATCTACGCAAGAAGCTACCTCTTGCCTCCTTCTTCCGCGTCATCAACAGCCGACCCGTCGCCACAGCTCTAGTAGAGTCGTCAGCCTGGGACCAAGACCGCGAGCTACTGAAGGATCTCTACTACCAAGACGATAGGAGGTTAGACGGCTCGAACCTCCTTCTATCCGAAGCAATCGCTCAGGAAAGCCATTCAGCCCAGCAAGACAAACTAAAATTAGCGTCAAAGTACCTCCAGGACTCTCGCGACAGCGCTGCCGTCTTCCAGCGCCAAGCTATCGACGATGCCGCCAAACTGCTCCGTCTTCAGACGCAGTTCGAAACAGACCTCAACGGTCCGAGAGACCCAACACCTGCAGGCTCGTTACCAGGTCAAACCTATATTGGCCTCTCAGCAAACGAGACAATCTTCCAACTCATCCGCCAAGGCCACTACAAGCGCGCCCAAAAGGTGCAGTCAGAGTTTAAAATCAACGACAAGACATATACATATATCCGCCTCCGCGCCCTCGTCGCAGCACGGCACTGGAACGAGCTGGAAGAATTCGCAAAGCAGAAGAAGAGCCCGATTGGTTGGGAGCCCTTCTTCAACGAGGTTCTCGGTGCGGGAAACACTAGAGTGGCGAGTGTGTTTATCCCCAAGTGCACGACGCTGACGGTGCCTGAGAGGGTCGATATGTGGATCAAGTGTGGGTTGATGGTTAAGGCGGGTGAGGAGGCGTTTAAAGCGAAGGATAGGGAGCTGTTGCAGGAGATTAGGGATAAGGCTGGGGGGAGTGCGGCGGTGGAGGTGGAGAGGTTGTTGGGCATGTTGCCGCAGGGGAAGAGGTAGGGTGTTGGCTTTGTGGTCGGGTTATGTGTATGACTGGCGCAGTGTTAGATATGAATATGGGCCGGTGTATAGCAATCATTTCTGTGTAGAGTTTGAATCGATGTTCACGTATGACTACAACTTCTTACGATCAGTGCTCGCCCTGTACATGAAAATGCGATCAAATCCTTCGTTTAAACCTCTTCTTTACCGACTACCGCATGTGTGAGAAAGATTCCGTGTCTTTGCAAAGATCTCATAGGCAGCTACAATGCCTTTTTGTTCCTCTAAACTACCTCGCCATGCCTCGTTGTAGGCTGCAGGATAGCAGCAGCTCCTCCATCAATTCCTGCCCAATTACCTCATTGTATGCATCAGAGACAATTTCTGAAAGTATGCTATCCTGCTCTTCCCTCATCGCATTCATCATAGTTAACATCTGGAAGCAAGTTATGCCGCTCTTCCCCGGTTGTGTTCCTCATAGTTATTTTCTGGAAGCCTTCTATCTAGCCTTCTCGTTCCCATTTTCAAGACATCGGGACGTGGAGGCAAGAACACCCGGCACATGCCCGGACCGCTACTACTTCGGAGGAAAAACACACTAGCGTCAGCCATGTGCAGAAGACCGACCCGCAGTGGCTGCGAAAACGACTCGCTTCCCCGCAATGACTAGGATGGTCGCCGGGGCTAGGTGCAGCCTCCGCAATCTAAAGAGAGGAAGTCGTCATCTCGGTGTGTGTTCAACCGAAGAAGAACTCGAGATCTTCAAGTCGGCAAATAAGTGTGGGAATCGAAACGGGGTCATGGCTTTGGCTGTGGTGCCGGGAGACGCCGGGAGAGAAAGGTACATAAGCCTCCGATAGTCAAGAGCTAGAAAGGGTTGTAGGATTGGAGATTCCAGATCCTGTCGCTATACGTCGCATACCCGAAAAGATGAGGTTTTCCAAGTCTGTAGTCAGCCTCGCGGCTGTGGTACCTGTCGCGCTCGCATCAACACCTTACTCACAATACATCCTCGCGCCCAAATCACGAACCCTCCACCCCATTTCCGTGCACAGCACAAACGGATCCGTCACATACCCCGAGAGCCTCACCAGCACAAACGGCAGTTCAATCTTCACCGGCGACGCAGCAACAGCCTACGACTTTGGCATCAACATCGCGGGTCTTGTCACCGTAACGATCGGTTCCGTCAACTCGTCCTCCTCCGAATACATCGGCGTCACCTTCTCCGAGAGCTCGTTATGGGTCAGCAACCGGAGCAGTGATGCGACGGCTGATGCAGGAAAGGACGAGACGCTCTGGTTCCATGTCAATGGTACGGGACGGTATACAGCGCCGAAGGAGAAGGTGAGGGGTGGGTTTAGGTACATGACGTTAGTTCATAATGGAACGGGGAGTGTGGAGGTGACGGGCGCGGAGGTGCATTATACTGCCATGCCGCATTGGGAAGGTGATGCGTTGGGGAATTATACGGGGTATTTCCATTGTGATGGTATGTTTCCCCTAGGTCTCCTGGTCATGAGATGTGGTGACTGATGTGTTACAGACGAGCTGCTCAATCGCGTGTGGTATGCCGGAGCGTATACAAACCAGATCTGTACTATCGAGCCAGACACTGGAAATGCGCTTGTTCATTTGCGCGAAGAAGGCTTCTCGAGTGAGGACGATCAGTCGCCGGTTAATGTTACTTGGTACAATAACTATACCATCACTAATGGCAAGAGTGCGCTGGTTGATGGAGCGAAGAGGGACAGGCTCGTTTGGGCTGGCGGTACGTTGGTTACTCCCCCATTATCAATTTTGTACTGACACCTATGGGTAGACATGGCGATAGCAGTCCCCGGTGTCGTGGTATCGACGAACGATGTCATTTCCATTGAGAATGCATTGGACTCGCTCTTCGCGGTACAGAACGAGACGAACGGTCTACTTCCATATGCTGGACGACCTTTCCCTCCCCAGGCGATATCGTTCACATACCACCTTTACACATTAATTGGTGTCGCTGATCACTTCCTTTACACCGTAAGCTCTCTCGATCAAATCCTCCACACTCGCTGACCACTTCTCCAGGGCGACATGAACTACCTCAAATCTCTATGGGACAAGTACAAATTCGCGCTATCGTTCTCCCTCTCCAACATCGACTCTAGCGGCCTCATGAACGTCACTGCACCCAACGACTGGCTCCGCTTCGGCATGGGCGGCCACAACATCGAAGCCAATGCCATCCTCTACTATACCATCAACCAAGGCATCTACCTCGCCTCAGCTCTGAACGACACCGCCAACATCTCTTCCTGGCAAGAAACCGCTGATGGTATCAAGACGGCCGCCAATGAACTCCTCTGGGACGAACAAGAGGGCATGTACCGCGACAACGAGACCACAACGCTCATGCCCCAAGACGGAAACGCCTGGGCCGTCGTCGCAAACCTCACGGTGAACAGCACGCAAACGAGTATGATCTCTCAGAATCTGGTTTCGCGATGGACACCGTACGGCGCTCCTGCCCCCGAAGCCGCAGACGCCATCTCGCCCTTCATCTCTGGCTTCGAACTGCAATCGCACTTCCTTGCGCAGAACACCACTGCAGCATTGGAGTTGATGCGACTACAATGGGGTTTCATGCTCGACGACCCACGTATGACAAACTCCACCTTCATCGAAGGATACAGTACAACCGGCGAACTCCACTACGCGCCCTACAACAACGACGCGCGCATCAGCCACGCACACGGATGGGCAACAGGACCTACATCCAGCCTCACACAATACGTAGCCGGTGTACAGTTACTCACCGCGGGTGGAGCAACATGGCGGATTGCGCCTTCACTCGGTGATCTCAAGTTTGCGGATGCGGGCTTCAGGACGAGTTTGGGGTTCTTTGGCGCGAGGACGCAAATGTTGAACGATAGTATAATGTTGGAATTGGAGGCGCCGGAGGGCACGGTGGGCGAAGTGAGGATGCCGGTGCTGGAATGTGCAGGACGGGTTGTTATGAGTGGAATGGAGGGGTTGAGTGGGGATGTTGTTGTTGAGGTTATGGCTGGGCAGGGAGATGTGGATGTTAAGGATGTCAAGGGTGGGAGGTGGACGGCTACGTTCAGGTGTGGATGAAGGGTGTAGATGATTGAAAGAGAAGCTTCAATGGTATTTTCAACGAGTGGATTTACCTCGATAATCATTCAACGTCTTGGTTGAGCCGGTTATAGTATGTTTGTGGTCGGTGCGACGATACGCGGCTCACATCTCCTACTACCCTGGTGTAATCCCATGCTGATACGGAACAGCCTCTGTGAACACGAGACGTTTGCTTCTCCTCGGCTTCAGCAAAGCGCAAAGCAGGTTGCGAAAGGCCCGTACACGAACTGCGTTAGAGCGCAAGAACTATTACACGCGCCTATATGAGGTCGACATAGCAACGGGTATGGAAAAGAAATCTCAGCTGCCGGGAAGCGGCATAGCTGACGATGGTGCAGGATGCTTTTCTGGGTCCGGACTGTCAGCGGATAAGAAACAGGGAACCATCGGCCCACTACCAGATTCCTTCACGATGGCATATTGAGTACAGTAAGCCGGACAGGATGTCGTCCTGCATTGGACGTGTTTCTTCAGTATCTTCAGGGTAGTAGTGTTTTGACAGAAGTTTAAAGGCGACGAGGTGGCCAGGCGGCCAGGCAACGAGGCAACAAGTAAAGGGTAGTCCAGGTCAGCGTATAGCACGGGTATAACCAGCTGGGAATGTAGCAAATACCGGTCATGTTGACATGCAGATTACCAGTATGATCCATGCTGTACCGCCTACCCCGCGCGTCTGAGTGGCGGAGGGCGATCGTGTGAAACGAGGCGTTCTCGTGATGGCGCGCTACATCGACGCGCCCGGGACGTCGCTATGCCAACGGTATGCTTGGCGCATTGTTCCAAAATAGTGTCGCGCAAACCACTATGACCACCCGCTTGACTCTGATCTGCGGCCCATCCCCAGCATTGCATCACTTGCGTCTTGTGTATACACATCTCGAGCATTGCTTCCTTGCATCGGCCTGGCATACAAGTAGAGTGCGGTTTGAGCCATTCCCTCGTTTTACGCCTTCTCCTCTTGCTCGGCCTTTTGCGACCGCCTGCATTCTCGCTTCCCCACTACTATCCACTACCACGTCAGAGTCAGGACTCATCACACCGCATCCCATTGCTCGCGCAAAGTTTCTCCGCCCCACTGGACGCGGTCACATTGCATGCGCGTTTGAGCCTCGCATCTCGCTGGCGGGTCTGCAGCCACCATGGACACGAGCTACCTCGCCCAGCAGGTCACGACTATCATCGGCCAGCTGCACGGCTTGTTCGACGACATTGGCGTCCCCAGCCATGAGCGCGACTCGCGCGAAGCAGAGGTAAGAAAAGTTGAAGTGTATTCGCGCGCAACTGCTGACTCTGTCTAGTTGTTCTCTGCTCTGTCGGAGACGCTCCACAACCAATTGCGACAAGTCACCAATGAGAAACATGAGATGACAGAAGAGGCGCATCGCCTGCTTAAGACGATCCGGCAGATGGAGGCTTCGCTCGATGACAACAAGCCCAACCCCAACTACGACGACCAGGACGACCGAGCCATCACCTTCCCCTTGACGCGCTGCCTCCAGGGCCTAAAGGAGCGATACAACTCGGTCAGCAAAATGCATAAGGAGCGCTTCGAGCAGGTCAGGAAACTGGCCGAAGCCCTAGAGTCGTATGCGTCGCATCTGGAATCGTCCTTCGTACAGGTCAAACTCCCGCCCACGGCGCCCAACGCCAAGGTCTCACCCTCCTTCGACATCTCGCCCTCCTACGTCACCAAGCTTGACAACGAATTCACACGCGTATACGAGGAATACACAAAGCGCCTAAACACAGTCCAGGTCATCTGCCAGGAGATCATCCAGCTTTGGGCGGAACTCGGTACACCGCAAGCGCAAACGGACACCGCAATCGTGCAATGTCATCGCGACGCGCCTGAACAACTTGGTCTGCACAAGGATGATCTCGCGCAATTGAACGCGAAGAAGGAGCGACTTGTCGAGGAGAAGCGCGGTCGCGAGCGACGGTTAGGGCAGCTGCGCACAACCATTGAGGAGCTCTGGGATCGCCTGGGTA